TTACATACTATTCGTATCCATTTTCTTAGCGATTTTATGACTCCTTTCTCTTCTATTTCGTCACAGTATTATGGTTTAGCGTTGAACATTTTCTAGCACCCCGTTGCATCGGAATTTACTTGTGTTGTAAATAATTAAATCCTAATTATTCTTTCCGTATTTAACGTCCATGGCAATTTGCTCTTATTTAAACCTAGTAGACTTTACATTCTATGTGTTGCATTCTATGCTAGTTTCACTTGACAAAGGTAATGTTTTACTAAGCTATAAACTTGTCAGACTGTGTAAGCTATCAAATTTATTGTAATGAATTTCAGGTGATATAACAGAAAAAGGATACCAGAAAAAGAAACAGAAGCTTCTAGCTCCGTTTATTAACGCTCCGAGTGAGTTATATATTTTGAAGTACATTCTTTGTTAGTTACTATCCAAGTAGATCACAACATATATATGCCTCATTGTTGTTTTTCTAGCTGCTATAAGATGATCACGACATATCAATAATAACATCATTGATGCGGCAACAATGGTTGTGATATGAACTGTCATGAGCTAGTCGTAAGGAAGAAAATCCTTTCCAATATTTCATAGGAGTACTGACGTATATTAACTGTAAAAACCCGAACTCACCTGATATACTCGCATTTGAACTAGTGTTTTGTTATTTTAACACTAGAAACCTGTTCTTCTATAGGCTTTAACTGTAACAGTTACTGCATCATGAATCTGTATAAAAACATCATAACTTCATTGTTAGTTAATTTCGGGAATGGTTCTTGGCATTCTAGAAAGCTTTAATTAGTGAATATCATCTGAACTGTTGATTTCAAATTTCATCTGGAGGATTTGAGACTATTGATAAGTCAATCATCGTTCATAACATTATCATTTCGGTTTTACGCGGATATACTAAATTAAATTTCAAGTCCATCTCATATTTCCCACAATAATCTCTTTATTATCTATCGGAAGAGTGTGACGAAATGGTAGCATAATGTTATATGTAGACTTTTTGTGTTAAACGCTAAATGATAATGATGTACGATATTCAAACTTGCATTTCGATTTGCTTGCCTACATAATATTAAGTGTTGAGTAATAACTGGTGAATAACGTCTTACTCGGTGGACTTATTTGTATACTATCACGTTTTGGTGTCATTTACGAGAAGAAATTGTGTTTTCTGTCCATTTCGTTGCGTCAATCGATCGCAAAATTGATCATTAGTTGTAGTATTTTAAAAGATTTATTTATCTTTTTTGTTTACTTAGTTAACTCAACTAATTCATCTAATAACTCACATATTCCTTATGGTGGAGTTTTACTTCCTGGACTTAATGAAACGCATCATGTAGGCCCACGCGGCCAGGCTGTTGGTTGTGGTGATAATGTTACAGAGTCTTTCAGAAACGAGCCCCCAAATAATTCTCCTATTAATGCTCAAAATCGCAGATACATTCGTGAAAATCATCGATATCGATCGGGTAAGATTTCCGTCCTAAATACAGTGGCTCTTTATTTGCTGTACAGGAAATCCATCTTGTAAACAATGCAATGGTTTCTTAGAGGCTTATACATTAGTGTTTTGAAACTACTTCCTGGTATCCAAAACACAACATATTAGAATAACTTAAACGGTCCTAATTATTATTTGCTCTCAACTTTTAAATGACCGTCTGAAGTTATCTTAAAAAATATGCATACTAATTCTCTAAAATTTCGGTTATTTTCGTCCATTATTCTTCAAAAATCCAGAGTAAAACGTCTTTAAGGGAAGATGTCAGATTTGTATGATATGGAAACGATCACAAGCTGTAATCCACATAGTCTGTAGTTTAACATAATGTCTATTATGTTTTAACTATTCCAACATACCATGTTGTTTAATTTCGTAAATTTTAAGGACCTTTGCCCGATATGTTGTAAAGTATATTTTATAGAAATGACCCAAAGTTCTTTTGAATACCGAACTGTTTATTGAACATGTCTCTAATTGTCATATATATCGTACATTTTGCAGTAATGTAAAAATGGAAATCATCAGAAATAGAAGGATTTTCAAGGGAGGTTATCAACATAATTTGGCTGCGTAAAGCAAAGTACGACGATCTACGTACGATCTATTGATTGAATACTGATTCCGTTAACTGGTAAATAAACAAAAACTTAGCTCAATGGAAGCGTCACCAAACTGACACCTTAGAAATCATAAATGAAATGACAATCAACACCTAACTTTAACAATGCAATCAGTCTATCTGATTATTTCATTTAAATGGGTAGTTAGTTAATTGTGTTACAAACACTGGACTGACCTATGTAATAGTGCCTTCAGTGTATTTTCACATATATATTCGAAATATTAGAATTTTACATCGCTAATTGCTTTTATTATGTGTGCGATTTTCGTTTTTAATCTTTCCAGATATCCGAGAAGAGGCAGTGAAGGAGGCTTTAGTACAAGCTCGGCAGGAACGTCATGATGCTTTGGCACCTAGTAAACGTCGTGACCCCAGTCGTTTGTCCTGTATACATCAAACTCCTGAACATGATGCAGCATGTATGTCATCACCTAAATTATTGGTTTGTACTCTGACTACATAGATAATAGAACGTAATGAATAAGAAAACTCGTTGGATTCCTAGCAAACCTTCCCTTGTAAATCTTTGATCACTAGGTATATTTTCTTATAATGAGCCTCACATAGCTGTAGTAGATAGTCGATATGTTCTTGGGACTGACAAAAATCCTTAATCGTACAATTTTGTTGATCAACGGAATTGTAACATGAAAATCTCGAGATCAGCACATTTGGACTTGAGTTCAATTATTAGTGGCGTCACTTGTACGTGCTGCTAAAACGTCGCAAATTTGTTAATTTATATATGTAGTTTACTTTCCGTGTGCAGTAGGTCAATCAATGAAATTAACTTTCCAATACCAACGAATTTATGACTGGTAGTTTCGTGGTATTTGTAGAGTGTATTTAGTAGTTGAAATATTTTGGCTTTCAGTCACAGAGTCGAAATTTCGAAACATGTTCCACTTACTCCAGTTTTGGTAGTTGAATTGCATCATTAACCCTCAAACCTCAAGTGTAATGCAAGCCGGACACGTGAACTTGTTCTCAGATGACGTATATTAAAAGATTATGAAATCGAATAAACCTCGGCTTATTACCTATAATAGCTTGAATATAAAGCGATTATAGCAACGTGAGTAGAATGGTGATAAGCAAAATCAAAATGTATGTCTCAGACAAATCCATTTCATTAGAAATAATTCGCCTTTTTGTAATCCTTTTTAACATATTTTTTATCGTGATTGTTTTTATGCAATCAGACTTATATCGTTACTGCTTAATACTAACGCTGAAGGATAATTTCTCTAAAATGTTTTAGAACTGTTTTTTTTTTCTAAAAAGTAGTTTTCAATGTCATTGCCTTTTATGTAACATTAATACAACTTAACCATAAAGTTTATTTAAATGTGAGTCATATGGTGTTGTACATATTTATGTGATGTTTATGTACATAGATAACAAACAATTGAACGTATTATATTTCATCTATACACTTCAACTTACATATATATAATTTGCCGAATTTAAGTCACTTTCCCTGTCTTACTTTATATATGCGTGTCTATGTTTTGTGCCTATTCACTTATCAAATTGTCTATAGTTTATGATATTGTTATGGATTTTCTGATAAAAAAATTCTATAAAGTACAAGCAATGTATTTTTAATTCCTAGACAACATTATTTCACTTTCAACTCGTACATGTAAATAGAAAAAATCAACTCCTATTGACGAAAGTGTTGGTAGTATATAATGATGTTAATGAATTGTATGATGTGAAAAGTCTTTCTACTGCGTAAGTCGTCAAACAAATGGCAACGAAGTAGAAAGAAAATAGTATGTTTCTTAATTAAAAATATTAAAGAGAACTGATATCCCTTACCTTTATTAGCTAGTAATTATTAGGTGACCACTTAATTCTACTTCAGAAACATCCATCGATTTACATGCTTGATCCTTTCTTAGATTTAAATACAGGTATGATAACGATTAATTCGCTGTCACTTTAATATTATGAAATTCAATAATTGGTATTAATCTACTTTTTGTTTCGTGTTTACTGTAATCTAGTGTAGCCTGGCTTTAATCTGATAAACATTTTATTTCGTAATCGAGCCTGAATTATTTGTTCTGGAGTAATGCTAACTCAACGACACTACCCATCTGCTAAATAGACTTCATTTATCTCAATTTTAAACTATTTATTACTTTGTATCATTTGACGACCTTCTTTCGTTACATTTCCAACCTATTTCAACATTTAAGGGAATGTTGAGTTGGCCACGCGATTTAGACGAAAGCTAAACGGTTGACTACTTACCATTTAAGTTACCTCATAGTGGTGTTCGGATGATGGTTTAACTTACTGACTCAGTTTCACTGTTGTAATTTCCTTTTTGTACTGTACGTATAATGATGAACTGTTGGTGTTATGATATTATTATTATTACTAATATCTAAATAAAGGGATGTTTCTCCCGTGTTTATTAGATTCTGATGATTCGGATGAAGATATGTCATCAACATCTGCACACATTACGCGTTTAGGGAACAATTTTAACCAGTCATCGGGATTAAGTGAAGTAAGTTTGATGATATTTATCAGTCTTTTCAAAACACTACCTAAATTCCCGCTTAGTGGTTATTTAATAGTAACATATTTACTTAAAGAATTTATGATAGTCTTATGTTCAATTCTCCTTGAACTTAAGAGGTGTTCACCACTACTAGCAAGTTAAAAACGAGAATCTTTTTACAGAATAAATGAATCATGGCTAGCAGTTGGATCCAGGACCCATGTTTCACTTTTTTTAGGAGTTATCATCTGGATGAACCTCCATCACAATTCGGGTGTTTATGCTGGGACTCGAATTTGCCACCTTTAGGACCCAAGCTCCAACTGATGTGACATCGATAAATTTTGACAATTTATTGTTTACCATGTAGTAACTACTGTCATATTTATCTAGTCCTTTAGTACTGCTTGAATTCTATCGAATAAGTTGCAATGTGATGACTCGTTTAACTGACTCGACACCACATACGCTATGTTGAGTTGTTAGGTATTTGCTAATCAGTGTTCAATCAGTTGCAAATATTAATGCAAGAGGCCAGTTGTAGCCCAAATAGTTCACTGGTAACGTTCCAAACTGTGAAGCTGTGTGACTTGGATTTAAATCCCAGTACAAGCATCTGTCCCTTCAGGATTGTAAAAACATCCAACTGGTTGTTTAATGTATATATGTAACTGTACGATTTGTCTTTTTTGTATGGAACCTTTCGTTTTGATTGTTTCATTTTCGTTTGTTTCAGTGATCATCCCTGTCTTTTTTAATGGTTTGTTTACATTATATACGACTTCAGTAATTTGTCATATAGGTATAATACACGGATGTGTGTATGTGTACATATCACCGTTTGTTGGTGTATATCATACTTTACTATATTTTTATTTTTGTCTTGTACGACCTTGTCTGACCCAATTTTTTAAACCATGGACCAGAGAATATATAAAATGCTGTTTAGCATTTCTTTGGATAAAGTTTTGCCACAGTTCCAAGGACGTTTTATGTTTCCATCATGTTTAAGTAATACAGTTCACATCAATTGTATGCATACTATCATGTGTTTGGGCTGACATTGTACTTATTTGTTTTTTAAAGGCCTATGTGCAATATCGGCGTTTTATGTTAGAGTTGTATAGAATAGTACATATTAGTTCAGTTTGTTAATAGCTTACCCTGAGCACTAAATGTTTCATTGATTGAAATTAAACATGTAAATCACTGAATGCCGGTTCAGTGGTCTGAAAGTTGCGTGCTTGCCGTGAGATCTGAAGGTCCTTTATTTGATTGTAGGTGGAGTCGTGGAAGGATATCTCTGAGGAGTCCCATAGTAGGACTAAACTGCTGCTCAATATTTGTCCAAGATCCGTTCATGATATGATCTACTAATTTCATAAATTACTACTTTTGCTGGAAAGTGAACTGTGTTATTCCAATGGCAAAAATAGTAACATCATTAGCTTTGAAGAAGCGTTGTCCATGGAAGACGAATACACTATTCTTTTTAGACTATTAAATGGTAGGAGTTTATTTTAGCAGAATTAGTGATTTGCTTTTCGAGAGAAATTCGATTAAGCTCTTGATGGACAGTGATTAAAATTAATTAATGTTACTCGAGATTTTTCAGTGTTTATATTGAACGATACATTGGTCTCCTCAAATAATTAGAACACTCAGTTTACAATTATTAGATCATAAGTTCAAGCTTCACTCCACTCCAGATTCGGTCAGCCAAGTGATGTTACTTGTCCTGGGATAAAAGTTTGGCCTCAAACCGCGTACGCAAATGTTTACTTGGCTACAATAAAATTGGAAGTTGGTCACCGCTAGATATGATGTTGCTCAGCTTAATTCGGAATTGAATTACAACACTAAATCCTGGGAAGATTTCAAGTTTTAAATTTTACTGGCCTCTCAGCCCGTGTTAGTCCACGATAACTACTATCCCGAAAGTCGAAGCAACTGATTATTTAAAAAAAATTATCTTTCCTAGTCATTTTAATCAACAGTAATTGTAGCAAATATCTATAAAACAAGTTCACTTCATCTTCCATTATCGTGATTTTTTTAACGATGAGTTTTTATCATGATTTTAATCATGTGTTATATTAACAGATCCCAAGTTCAAGTGTACCGACAAATGGCGTTTCCGACAGAAATCAACTTAGAACATCAACTACTATTACTGGTCAGATACGCAAACAACAATCCCCTGCTAATCGATATGATGAAGTGCCTTCTTTAGATGAAATTCGATCCTGTAATTATTTTTTGATTTTAATAACCCCTCTTTTTATGAGTTACGTTCCATCATACTCTAAGAATGTGAAACATAGCCATTAATAATAGGGAATGCTCTTAGGTTACTAGTATCCGATCATAGGCATCTTCGAAGGATTGTCCGTGTGTTTTGGGACCACTGAGTAAACAATGCCTGGGTTAGTAATAGGGTACCTGGTTGGGGTTTGTACGGTTATTATAATCAATGATTAGAGACTGAATAACATGGCCAAAAATCGTTTGCAATGGCACAGATGCATCTATTCTCCGTCTTCCTCCCCCTGATTCTGGATTCCCCACAACTTTTTTTGTTTTGATGTAACTAGTTTATATTTTATTATCTTGAATCGTATATTCTATGCCTGATCTTTCTTATTACCACTAATACTGTTACTACCTCTACTATTCTGGGATTTTACCTGACAACTTCATCTGTCTGTTACTGGGGTACGACAACTTGAATGGGTGTATGTACCAGGTTCTACTTTACCACTAACTGACTTTTTATGATTCGTAGTTAAAATTTGATTACTTTGTGTTCATTTCAGTAATGAAAATCTGATCGGTCGAGTTAAGCCGTTGTTTGTGTGTTAGTGGTTGAACAACTGGCGTTTCGACCAAGAGGTTTTAGATTTAAATCCTTTTTCTCCTACTCCGGTTTGAGCAGAGAGTAGTAACATACTCTTCAAACAGTGTGGCTTAGAGTCGAGTACATAAACCTGTATTCAGTGGATTAAAGCTTTATTACTTAAAATTTCAATCCCTTACGGTTACCAAGCAGTTGCATAGTACTGTATGCCAACGTATAATAGTTTTTTCCAGCTTTTCTTTTACACACATGTTGTTCATTAGGGACATTTATTTTCAGTGTAGAGGGATTTCTGAAGATTGTAGGGTTTTCATAGTTTAAATCGCGTAATCATTTTAGCTAGGCCGCCATAGGAAACCGGGAGTCACAGGACAGTGTTTGGACGTGTGTAGGTGTATATTTTGAGACAGTCTTCATAAAACCTCCTTAGCTGTTAGATTATACATTCAAAATATTCATCAACCAAGTTGATAGGGACAAGAATTGGAAAATGTATAGTCCCCATGATTGACAGCTTTTTGACTTATTGTCAACTGAATTTACCACATTAATTTCTTTTTTCTTCGTGATCAGTCTCTTGCTTGTTTGTCGATTTATTCTAATATCATGGTTCTTACTGTTAGTGTTACCACTAATTATGATGGTCTTTGACATACTTCCATAATATTATTTCATGATTCATGTATTAATCAGTTGTAAATTTTTCAAAATGTTTTATTCAGCTCAACCACCGATTCGTTCGTCAAATAGAATAAATCAATCAGATGTAAATAATCCATGGCCTTACACAAACCAGCCTTCTAATCAACAAAATGGTAATTTAGATGGAGCATTGAATACGGCTAATTCGTTTGAACAGTTAGCTGCTCTTGCTGAAGCTCAGTTAAATTCTAATAATATAGGGATGTACGATTATTCTGATCCATCAGTTAATACTAATTTTCATCAATCTCAAGCGATTTCTACAGGTAAATTTCATTCCTTTAGTGATTTCATTAGCTTTCATGTATTACATCATTATCCCATCATGTATGTGGATATGTTTTCATAGAATAAAGTTTCTACATTTATTTATTTACCCGAAAAATGAATATAAGGACGATACTGATTCAAAAGTATACTGGTTAGTTGCGTGAATTGGCGCGGTTATTTAAAGCTATGTAGTCAGTCAGTTGTAGTCAGAATAGGCACTTTTACGAGTGTGCATCAGTTCAAGTTGTCACACCTCAAATCCATCAGAGTAACAGACGTAATTGTTAAATTGAGTTTCATAAGAATGGGAAAAAAACTCTTATGGAAATCTTGACAAGAAATAATACAATTATAGAGGAATAAATGAAATGGAAGAATGAAAATCTACAAATAACATCTTTTGCCATACTACCCATCTCTAATCATATGTTGGTATTCCTACACAGAACTAAAGTAGGAGGTCTGTATGCATCATTATATCTCAGACTAGTGGTCTACGATTTCATGTATTGATTTTTTCTGTTCAATCATGTAGGTTTATGACCTTGTCAACTGACTGATCATTTTTTACTGAAATCTTACGGCTAACCTCAGCACTAATCACTCTCATATATGGAGCAGTGTTTTTGTTACTTTGACATCGGTGTTTTGTGGTTGACTGTCTTGTTCCAAATTAATTACTCGTCTACTGAAACCGCGCTTTAAACTACATGTTGGAGAATTTAATGTTCGAACTTTGTATAAGATAGGAAAGTAGGCTTCGTTAGCTGGGACTGTAGCCTCTCGCTCTGTCAATTTGTGCTGCATCGCCGAGACACATACATGGTTTAAGTATGGTCATTCACTTAATCTTGCTTTGTCAATATAAAGGACCGGCAAAAATTACCCTTCGAGTATCTGAAGACCCCACTGTTACTTCCCGTGGCCCCTTTAGTCTAGGTATAACATTAAGTTCAAAAGCAGAACAGGGTCGGTTAGACTAGATTCCAATATGCAGTCGCTTGTGCGCTGTCTGACTAAGTGGAACAGAAAGATATGGACACACGCCGTTGTCTCTGCTTACGCTCCCACCGATTACAGCTTGGTTGAAGTTAAAGATGAATTTTATAGGATGCTAACCAATGGTTAAAGGCTTTGAATAACATGGCCGAAAATCGTTTGCAAATCGATGCATCTATTCTCCGTCTTCCTCCCCTTGATTCTGAATTCCCCACAACTTTTTTTGTTTTGATGTAACTAATTTATATTTTATTTTCTTGAATCGTATATTCTATGCCTGATCTTTCTTATTATCACTAATACTGTTACCACCTCTACTATTCTGGGATTTGACCTGACAACTTCATCTATCTGTGTTACTGGGGTACGACAACTTGAACGGATGTACTTACGTACAGGTTCTACGTTGTGACTGACTGGCTTGTCGTGGTAACGGTTTTCAAGTTTCATAAAAGTAAATTAAAGTTTTTCTTTAAAGCTTACAATCTGGGAATATCAATCGTGTGCAATGAAAGTTGTAGTATGATGTAAAAGTCTGGATCGTTTAATTCTAAATTCATAATTGCTGTGGTTAACTTTCTTCAATGAGGTTTAAGAAATTTATACTCTCTCATTATTGTTAGTAAACCAATAATGAATAGTCTATCACAGAGTTACGGAAATATTTACTCGTTGTTTCTTCCTAAATCTTAACGACTTTTTTAATTTATTTCCTGTTCTCGGCTTGTTTTCTTGTTGGTTAACTTAATATCCTTTCTCCTTCGGTAATTTCATTTCTGTATTGTTGAGACATATCTCCCCTTGATCTGATATCTTGTTACATCATTGTCTTTATATACATATCGGTCTCTACAAAACGAAAGCTTGTGAGTATTCTTACTCATAAAACACCTATACTTACTAAAATAAACAAAGCATAGATCATCTCCAAGGTGGATATTTCGATGGTATAGCTATAAATGTATATTCCCGCCTATTTATATTCATTCTCGTAGTTGATCTGTTCACTGGGGTTCGTCTCATTAGTACTGGTTAATTTAGTATATATTACAGCGGTACGTAACTGACTCAACCGAATTACTCGTGTGATTTAGTCTACATCTTGATTTTCCAACTTTTCTTTATTGGATTGTAAACATTTTTCACTTAACTGTGCTCTAATATTGTCGATTTATATGTTTATTTTCATATTCAGCTTATCAACCCCAGTCTGGAATCAATTCGTGTCCAATATCCATGACTCAGAACGGTCAGCGATCTCATATATTTGGCAGTGTTAGTGTGCTCCCTAGTTTTGCCAGTGGTGTTATATCAAATGGTAATTCAGGACATGCAAATCATGAATTCGTTCCTTCATCATCAGCGTATGACTTACAACATGGTCAACAAGAACAGTATTCTCAGTCAAACCAGCCGGTCTCACTAGCGTCTTCTTCATCTGCTGATCTTGATAATAGTAATGATAGGAAGTTCTCAACACCAGCAACAGGAGAGTCTATTGGACAAGATCCTTCCTCAGATACCAGTCAAACGACAGGCCTGGTATGTCATAATCGTGTATCAGAAAAAATTCAAAAATTAGTCAACACTTTGAAACGTCCCAAACGATATCCATTACCCGAATATTTTCTTGATGATGAAGATCAAGTACTTGTAAGACCTGTTGTTGATCCTACGGCACCACGTCCCAGAGGTCTTCCGTCTGAACCACTTATAGGAGAAGAACTAGTTGTAAGTTTTTTTTCATATTTTAACATGTTTATCATCTTACAATCGCTATATTGTAGGCCACTGATGTTTATATGTGGACTGTCTAACGTTTTGATCGTAATTTGTTTTTATTGTAGATACCTTCTGGTTTGCCAAGAAATCTAGAATCTGCACTTCAACGTTACGCTAGCTTGAGTTGTAAAACACCTGCCCTAACTTGTTTAGACGTATCTGGCAGACCAACTCAGGTGCTAACTTACGCAAAATTGCTGCAAGTATGTTCTAAGTTTTTCTTGTAAATTAAATATTTGTATTAATATTTCACATTATCGAGTAGAATATTATTATTAGTATGATATAGAACTTTTGTTTAGCGGTTGATAATTTACACGTTTTATGGATATATCATTTCTGATCAGCAAATGCATATCTCTGGCCATCACATCGTGTACATTGGTGAAAAGTTATTAGATGAACGTGTGCTTATTTACTATATTTAATTCAACTGGTTATGAATATTTTTTAAAATCAACTTTTCTTATATTTTTGAATTGCCATCATATGTTTTTCTTCTATAGTGTATATTTACCAGTTTAAGTGAAGTCGACATTATTTAAGAGGACCCTTGAATGTCAAATCAACTCACATGATCTACGTCAGATAAACACATTATATGCAGTAATTTATCAACTGTTTTATTTTTTCAAAAAAAATTGAGGCTTAGTTGGTAAAATAAATTGACCTCGCAACATATTTAGTCAGTATGTTCTCACGTTATAGAATAATCTATATGATTCTTAACTTAATGCGTTCAATCAAGAAGTTTACTGGAGTTATGAACAGCCCTGTAGAGAAGTGCGAATGTTCTGATTAAGGTTGTTTGTAACTAATAGTTGAAGCTTAATTGTCACAGATTATTATTAACGTTTTGTGCTCAAGTTGCAGAAAACGACCAGTGTAGCAGCAGCCTCAGCAGCAGTAGGTCTCAATATACACAAAACGAAAAGCAAGATTCTCCGGTTCTACTCAACATGCACCAACCAAACCATACTTGATGGAGCTTTTTATGATGTGGAAACCTTTACATATCTGGGCAGTATCATTGATGAACACGCTGGATCTGATGCAGTTGTGAAGGCGCAGATCGTCAAAGCAAGAGCAGCATATTTACAACTGAAGGACATCTGGAACTCAAAACAATTATCAACCAAAACCAAGATCAGAATTTTCAATACAAATGTCAAGAAAGTTCTACTGTATGGGGCGGAAACTTGGAGAACTACGAAAGTCATCATTCAGAAGAAACAAATGTTTGTTAACAGTTGTCTACGCAAAATAATTCGGATCCGTTGACCAGACACTATCAGCAACGACCTACTGTGGGAGAGTACAAACCTGATTTCAGCGAAGGAGGAAATCAGAAAGAAGCGCTGGAAGTGGATAGGACACACATTGAGGAAATCACCCAACTGCGTCACAAGACAAGCCCTCACTTGGAGTCGTCAGGGCCGAAGGGGAAGAGGAAAACCAAGGAACACATTACGCCGAGAAATGGAAACAGACATGAGATGAATGAACAAAAGTTGGATAGAACTAGAAAGGAAGGCCCAGAACAGAGTGGATTGGAGAATGCTAGTCAGCGGCCTATGCTCCATTGGGAGTAGCAGGCGTAAGTTTGTGCTCAGGTGCTCTAATGCTTCGTGTCGCTCCATATTCTAAATATTGTATCATTTCATACATTCAGCCATCAGAGTTGTAAAAGGTATGTATTCGCGACTGTATGCATATTTCGGGTGTTTAAGAGACTCAAAAGCTAACTAATTATTGATCTAGATTATTTGTATTTTTTTAACAATCATATATATAACTTCTGATAAAACAACCTTTATTGTATCTTATCTAGCGTGCCATCCGAATAGCTTATACACTTTTGAATAAATTGGGTCATCGTGGAGAGCAGAGCTTAAAACCTGGAGACCGTGTCGCATTGGTGTACGCCAATAATGAACCAATCAGTTTTCTGTGCGCATTTTATGGTTGTATTTTGGCCAGTGTTATTCCAATAGCAATCGAAGTTCCATCTCCTCGTCGAGTAAATACTCTCATATTATATGTGTGTTCTATGTTTATTTATAATTAAGGCTTTCAAAAATTTTATTTTAGGCGTTGTATGTGCATTTTTACTAATGTTTGGAAAAAAAGATTGAGTTTGATCTGCTTTCTAATTGTACTTTTGTATACAATGTAGAACCGTTCGCTGATTGATTTCTCGCTTGCTAGAATTTATTTGTTTACCTTGATGTTTTATAAATGTTTAGTAAGTTAAGTTCTTAAAAATCAGAGGCTTTTTCCATTTGAGCAACTAAAGTGAATCATTAAGTATGATCTAAAGGAATTTCCTCATTTCTAATCGACCAATTACCTTAAATTTACTCACTGATATATTGAATAAAAGAATGTCAAGAGTACATCACTTAACTTGCCTTATTTTCTATTTTGAAGGATGCTTCATGTCAAAGTATGGGGTTTTTATTAGGTAGTCAGGATGCACGTATAGTTTTGGCTAGTGAGCAATGTTACAAAGCTTTACAACGTGGTCCTAATGGTGAGGTATTATCATTTTCTGGTTGGCCACGTGTTACATGGATTAATACAGACCATCATGCTAGTGGAACTAAACCACCGAAAGATTGGACTCCTCCTGATCGATTATCAAATGATGCAACCATGTACTTGGAAGTAAGTATTGTTTTGATTGAATTGTTACTCTACATTTTAATTTATATAAAACCTTATATAAGAAGTATGTAGTGTATAAATTGTTCTTGGTAGCTGTATCATATACTGATCAGGAATACGTAAAAGGTTTAGTAAGTCTTGTCAGCTGTAAAGAAGAATTACGTAACACCATGGATTATATTCATTTATATTCATATTTTCTCCTGTTATTCAAAATAATATTTGCGGTTTCTTTTCTTTTTTTAACATTTTCTACCTTCATATCCGATTTGTACCATTTCCCCGTTTTACAAATTTTTACTATGTTGTTAACATTTACTTTTGAACCATTAGTTCTTATTATTTTCAATTTTGACATTTTTGATTGTCTAAAATTATGTTCATATACGTTTCTATCATTTTTTTTCCATTTCTTCACCTTCCATTATATATTTCTTTCTTTCTAGGAGCATTCGTTTTGTTCATGTTTAATTACTTCATTAAAAATGATATTTCAATTTTGATTTGTCTTGGACACAAATTCACCTTTTTTTTATATCTTACTGACTGTAGGAATTCATTTTGTGTCGTATTATCATCTAAATATTCCTATCCTTTTTAAAATTCTTATTTAAGTGTTTAGTTGTACAAAAATGATTGTTCCGTTCGAGTGGGTGATATGCTTTTCTATGCAATTCCTATTACATTTAATCATTACTTGTAGTTGTGTACAAGATAGGGAATTCGATTTCAACTAATATAAATATTCCTTTTATTAACAAAATCATCTCTTGTGAATATTCAGTTATTACTTGCGAAATTAATAAAAAAAGTTCTGGTTCTCACTACCGGTATTTTTAGTGTTAAATTGTCTAGATGAGTTTAAAAAGCATAGTGTTAATATGTAGGGAAAAAACAAGTGGTGTCTCAATATCCGAGAAAGTTAAGTGATAAGATTAAATAGCAACAGGTTTACATGATGATTTTCTCAAAACGTACGTATTTTTTCTTATTTCTGGATTTCATTTTCTTGTTTACATTTCTGTTTTCTTTATTCGTACCGTATGTTAATCTTTATCATGTATTAAGGTACGTCAGATTTCATTGTTTTCCATGGTCTTACATTTCCAAACATTTGTCCATTCTACTATGTCACAATTACGTTGATTACTGAGAAATTATTTAAAGAATCATTTCAACAACTCAGTGGTCTAAAAGTAAATCATCTTTCGTAAGAGTTGAATATCGTGAGTTGGATTCCTAGCTGGCAGACATAAAAAAATGAATATTACTTGGAAACAACTGGAAAACAGAGCCCATGACAGAGATAGTTGGAGAACCCTGGTCGGCGGTCTTTGCTCTACGACGGGTAACAGGTGTAAGTAACAGTTATGAATATACACTAGTGATAAGTTCCAGACTACGATTGAACATCTATCTAGTGATATTAGTCCATGTGGAAGACTAGTTTCAACTTATTTCCTTTAAACTTCTTAAGAAATGAGTATTTTGTATATATGTATATCTTATTCTAAACTGAAACTTACATAGCCAAAATTGTACTTTGTGATTAGACATTTGACGTAAGTGAATTTACTAAAATTTTATGGGGTTAAATTTATCGTCTTCAACATATGTGTAGCATAAAAAGATATGAATTTGAGTGTACGTCTTCAGATTTTTTTGCTGTTTTCCCTTCCTTTAATGAGTTGGATAATTTAACTGTCATTTTTAAATTTTGATTTTACTGGACGATTTCGATTATTATTTTACTGGAAATAGCAAATAAAAACTTGGATTCGATTGATCCCAATGATTAATATTGTTAAAGAAATATGCTGGGACGAAACGGTCATGCAGTGCTTCCAAGTTTTCAGTCGTGGAGTTCAACAGTGAAAATGTATAGTAATTAAGCATCAAACTAATTGGTTAATGATTCACACATATGATAATTGCGATGGAAATTCACTCGAACACTATCTGTTGTTGTCGTAGACTTGAGAATCGATTACTGCATATATGATTTGGTCACACCGTATTGGGAACTCACGCCCTTGTTTCTGAAAATACAGAATAGTGATTTGAAAAGAAACTTATTGTTTTGGCAGATTGTAGTGAAATAATTTAAAGTATTAAAAAGCATTTACCTTGCTATGTGATTCCAAAATTCAGCCCTTTTCCAACCAGGTTGTGTTTGTAATTTCAATATGGCGAAGGCTAATTAACTATACTTGTAAAATGTTTTAGTTCACTCGATAGATTATAGTTCATTATCATTTTTTGACCTCACATTATATAAAATTGGTGGAATGTTATAGTAGAATAACAATTTTATGTGTTTTTAGTTAATTTATTCAAAACCCTCAATGCTTCATTTATACTCTATCGAATACATACGTTATACTAGATACCTAGATTTTTTTTAATCACTTATTTACTCTTACTATATGATCGCTTTTAATGAGAGTTCTAACTGCTCTCACATAATACATTGTCCTAGTATTGAATGACTAAAATAATATGATTATAACAATTTTGTTATTTTCAATTAATTAATTGAAGTCGCGATTTTTCAACTATGAATCATTGATTTATATAATACAACTTTCAATTAATTAGTCATAGACCGTGTCTTAGAAACCAGATACTCTGGTTATCTTATAGACAATCGGTCTACTCCGTAGTCATGAATTTGTATATTGTTAAATGTGTGTTACATTTTCAAATGGTTGGTTAGAGTCTGACCACAGCATAGGTTGTCTTTATAAACAAAGATGGATGATGGCTAGCAGTGAAATCGAGGACGCGCGTTTCGTCCTATTCGGGACTCGACAACTCGAATATTCAAACAAACAATACAAAATGAATAGGTTGTCTTTCTTGAATTGATTTGTTAGTTTTATATTGTGTAACATAGTAGACTTTTCATCCATAACTATTCTCATTAGTTGTATGACTTTTGCCCAAAGTCTAGTTATTATTATTTTTATCATTATTGTATGGTCTTACTTTCATTTTTTGTTACTGTCACTTTTCGTGATTCATCTCTACTGAGAAGAAAAATAGTGGGAATCATAAGTTTATTGTTTTTATGACCTGTTGGTTAATCATTGTGAATAATAAACATTTTTTTTCTTTTTTCGTACAAAGTGTGTTGGTGTAGTCATTTTTTCACTTTCCCTCCCTCCATGTATATGTGGACCAGTAGTGTATAATCGTATTGACCTTGGCAAGTACTTACTTTCATCGATTAACAATCGTATTGTTTATTAATATCTCCAATGTTTAGTTTCATTTTTGCTGGTCGTATAAAATGCAGGTCGACCACCACCACGTCTGGAAATAAGTAAACTCGGTAGCAGAAATTTAACTAAGATTTTTTGCCGCTTTAATTTTTATCAACCATACATTTGGTAATTTGATATTTAGAATAGTGTCGATAGAGTAGTATTGAGAGATTCACACACATAGTTAAACACACTTATGATTTTATGAAATAAATTCATGGTATCTTATTAATTTCAATCCATTTTAATATAACCAAGAAAACTGTGTTCAATAGTGTATAAAATCACCAAAACGTGGCACAAATCCATGAAGTCACTGACAAATGGACTGAACCACGTTGGTAGGTGTGAACTACCTGGTTGGGATTCGCGAGATGATAGCAGTCGATTGTTAGAGACCTTGAATGACATGTCTGAAAATCGTTTGCAATGGCGAAGGTGCATCCACTCTTTGTGTCCTCCCAAATTCTAATCTCCGGAATTCTTCATGTCTCTTTCTTTTTTCTTCTCTTTCCAAATTTATTTCATTGGATTATACTCCTTGAATAACATCTTCAAAAACTAGTCTTTCACATTATTGCTTATACTCTTACTACTTGTACCACTATGGGATTTGAATCGAAAACTGCATCTCCGTGATAATGTGGTATGGCAACTCGAACTGATGTACGTACGTACGAAGTTCTACTTTGTGACTGACTGATTTTTCTGTATTACGACGTATACTGAACTATGACGTGTATTAATTTTCGATCGAATTTTATTTATAATTTTATTAACCGTGTAAAAGATTTGATGTTGTTTTGTTAACCCAAACTTGAGTATTTACTACCGTTGGCACCCTAATACCAAAATATTAGTGGAAACTATTTAATATCTACAACAATCAGAATATTTGGTGATCAACTGACTTTCTACGATAAAGAGTTTTCTAATATTTTTAGCTTTTGATTGTGTTTCGCTCTTAAAACAGTTCATTACTTTTACATTTCTCAAATTTTAACGTATCTGTACTTTTAGTTCAACTTTTCAGCTTTTACATTAAGAGTTTGATCATGATATGACGCCCATCAACAGTACATATTTGTGACCTCAAAACTAAATCTGAAGTTTTCTTGATCAATGCTCTACACTTAAATTGAGCCGGAATCCAACGGTAAAGGTTAGATTTATAAGAGCCATGTCAGGGATTAGCTATCTATTTAGTGATAGTGAAATTCGACACATTCTTTCCTTCCTTATTGGATTGTGAGGCGGAAATCTTGTTTACTGTAACAATTATATCAAATTATTCAGATCATTTCTCGTATTCATCATAGAAACCTGTCTCGTATTTCACATATTTTCGTTATTAATATCTGTGTACAACAAACATATTCTGCAATTAGCTATCATTTTTTGATTTTCTTGCCATACGGTAACTTGCGTCTTAAAATTTTCCTTACATTTTTGTTACATAAATTGTCAAATACACAGTACTGTTAGCCGATCGCCCGAGATACTGTCGCTTTTTTGTAATTTTAAAATGTAAGTAGTTAGTAGATTGAACTAAATTAGTTTTGCTATGCATCACTGGAAATTGTCATGGCGACAGACAGCTAGTGTTGTGATGATTGATCGTCAATGAAACCCGTGTTCATCCAATCATTCTATTTAGCTTTATTTCTTTTGTGTTGTATATTGGATATGTACTGGGTTATGTACGATAAATGTGAAATTATTGGTCTTATTCTTAATGATTTTAGTGATTTTTCCACTGTATCTAATCTTTATGCCAAATACTTTTAAACCATTCAGTTAATGGTTTTAGTAAATAAATAGGTCATCTTCTATACTCTTTACTGGAAGAACTGATTTGGATATTGAAAGACCCTGGTTGACTTTGAGAATAATGCCTAGTTTGTGTTAGATTTGCAATAGTCAGTACCGAGATTACTGAGAAGATTGTACATATAAGTTAAAGAACGTTTCACCCAGTTAATTGATAAATTAGAATTATACAATTAACTACACAATGCACAACCACGTCTTTTTTCATCCTACTTGTATTATGTCTGGTAAGCAACCATGTTATTAGTTGTTATTCTAATTGAGAGTAACTGTATTTGGTAGTCTCAATTGTAGTTGATATAGAACCTTATATAAATGTGTATCAACGAGAAACAGGAGAGGTAAACCTTAGAATACATTTCAAAATGATTCACTACTATCTTTACATAGTACTCAACGTCTAGCCTCTTTATTACTCAGTGATTTCATCAAACAGGAGTTACCTGGAACCAAATAATTAAAGCTTACCTATATCTTTTGATCTTATGGGCAATATTTAATAGCTGTTCAGCAATAAAGAGCAAACTGCTTCTTAGTGTAATTGTTGATTTAGAAGACAAACGGACATCTCACCTGAACTGTAGGTGGCGCGATTTGGTTGACTTTTTATGTCCATTCCGAGGGTATGTCAGATTTATTGTTGTATACACATGTAATTATAGAACGAGGCTTCATGGTTAAGCCAAATGATTTTCAACCATTGCCTATCAGCTTGAAAAAATGTTTCATCCAATACATTCCTGTAATATATGTTGTTGTATGTCTCCTTCCTCAAAAAGTGTAGCCTGAACTTTATCGCACTTATTTCCTTTCTGTAACAGAGTTACATTAGGTTTCATTTTATTTCAAGTAGATATGACAACTGATAACCAATTAATTTCTATTAAATGATTTTATACTGGAGAGAAATCGACAGTAAGTAGTGTAGTGGAATCGTGGTTATTGTAGTATTTTCACCGTTGAAATCACGAGCTGATCTTAAATAGACCACATCCCATGACCTGGAAGTACTGGAAGGCCATTGCGTGTAGGACTCATCAACAATGCGGATGTACAACCCTGGATGCGGAGATCAAGTCCTAGTGAAAAGCCGTGATCAGTGGGGTTCAATCAGTCTCGGTTGTGACACAGTTATCCACCTCAGGCAGTGGATGGAGGGTTGCACAAGACTATAGATTAATTGAAGTTAAGCACTAACACCGTTGAATAGCAGTTGATTGATCTATAAGCTAAGCGTTCTAGCGCAAGACAGAAGGTCTTGGGCTCGAGTTCCGCTGTCTGGACGGTGGATGCGTACTGCTGATTAATCTCATACCAGGACTAATTGGCTATCCAGTGCTTCGAAGTTTTCAATGATGGTCTAGTTAAGATCATTTCGCGATTTCAGTGATGAAAATAGGTAGTCGTTGGCTTACATTTATCCATTTAAAGTAAGAGGGTTAGTGGTATATGGTGCTGGTCTGGGCTTTATTAATCATTTTTGCGTGATTATGCATTGGTTTTACTATTTAGTTCTATTTTTGCCCACAAAGATTTATGCAGATTCCAATTCTTCCTTTCTTATCCCCATCCTTAATATCTTTATAGAATACAAAAGCCAAATAATGGCCTGTGTGTAGTTAATTGCTTACTCTTACACTCATTTACACATAATTGTTCAGTTAACCCTTCCCCTCCCGCCCACATTATTTCTAATCTTGTTTGTAAGTTGTATTAATAGGAAATAACACAAAAAATTAATCGTAGTCATGACAGTTCAGGGATGATTCATTCGATTACATATGTAGTTGTGTAACTTATTTATAAATGTCCATTGTTGTTAACCCCAATCTTTTGTGATGTATCTTTTGCTTTCTTAAAACAATGTTAACTTATATATCTAAATATTTATATCACTATGTTGTAATATTCACAAAAACATAGATCTAAACTTCTTTTCAAGTTATTGTCATTATCGAAACTTCTAACTGAATTTTATCATTACTTGATCTCAGTTTAATGCTTGCAACCAATAACTTTGTTTATAAGAATTTGTAAATCTTGTGGAGATACAAATCGATTTCAGAATAATCGTTATTTATACAATCAGTTTTTTTAGTGCTCATCACAACTATGCCTGATTGATTGCATGAAGCTTAATCCTAATTAATATTTTAGTAAAGTTGGGTGGTAGATAGCGATAGAATACAGGACATGCAATTCGTCCAACTTCAGACTCACGAGCTTTATGTACTTGCATCCCAGTGTTGGTGTTCACTCAGGGACTCGAAGTCAATGCCTTTCACTTCAGATATTCATTATACTATCCACTGAGCTACTAAGTCCAAGTAACCACTGGCTTGTAAAACGGGGATGAGTTTAATCTTCAATTTTAACGTATAGATACAAACACCCACAAACTATCTTAACTAATTTTTTGTGGAAATTTCAGGCTAATACGTTATTTCAAACATTATATAATACACCTTTCTACACAGAAAATGAACAAAAAGTATCAGATGCATTGTCGTGCAACCTCTTTCCAAACAAAGAAATTAGAATGATTTTCTGACCTGGTTGAATGGGATGCGTAAAGTCCTTGATCATAGTGATGAAATTTAAAATGCTTCCCTTTAGCCATCACGGTAGTTACAGCTTTTGGCTCAAATATGACATCTAATTTTGGTTTCTAATAGATTTCGCTGAAGTGTTTCGATAGTTTCAGTTTAAATGTATAGCATATTTTGTAATTTCTTTGTTTGCTGTCACGTAGAAACTTATAAACTGAATTAATCTAGATAACGTGAAGTTATTGTGCTTGACTCCTTTTTTCCTTTGTTCTTTGTGGTTTACATGTAGTTCCTTGTTGATTATTCTTTTTTCTCGTCCCACGTTAAATGATATAGTTTTTCTTTATAGTCATAAATATCAACATTTGATAGTTTGATCAGGAAATTTGAATAAGCAATAATACTAATCAATAAGAAACAAAGATTTTCAGAGTTTTGTTTATCACTAAAATTTTAATTTGTATGTATTTATTTTTCATTGTTGATTTCCCTTCCTGTCAATCATAAACAAATTATGCTGACTAAATTTTTTCTGTTTTTCTTCTCATCTTCAGTATACATTTAGTAAAGATGGCAGTGTACATGGTGTAATGATAAGTCGACGTGCAGCACTTTCTCACTGTCGAGCATTAACTGTAGCTTGTAATTATTCTGAAGAGGATGTTGTTGTCTGTGTTGTAGATTGCCGTCGACAAATAGGATTATGGCATGCTGTTTTGACGGTACGTATCTATTATATCTTATTTAGTATGTTATATCAAGCTTTTTTTTGATAAAGATAATGCATAAGTTAGAAAACTGTTAGATGTTTATAAGCTGTTTACTTTTCAAGTAAATAGTTCCATGGATAGTAAGTTCATTTTCTTAAACAAACCACCTCCAAAGATTATTGAACGATTACTATATTTAAATAATATTTCTCTGTTATAAAAAATTGACTTACATTGATTCATAATATTCATGTTTTTCACTCGGAGATTGTTAGTAAGTCAGCTTATTAGCATCATGTCAACTCTTTAATTGAGTTTTCCTAAACTGCGAAATGTATATAATATGATGCCATTGTAGTACATGCTACTTATGTTGACAGATATAAATAGTGTGTAACACTACTCGGAAGTGGAATGCCTGTCATAAGAGGATTGAGAAGATTGAACTGAAAAGAACCGAAAGGGAAGCAGAAAGGAATTGGAATAAATGTAGAATAGGAAGAATCATGAAAAACGTTATGACAACTGATGGAAGATGTGCAAATGAATTACTTAATGTATAGTTTTTATAATTTTTCAAGACACTAATAAAGTGATTCTTCCCACCTAAGTCATCGTCCACTACACTGTCAAATCTGTCTTGTTTTATGTGATTGTTTTTTATGTTTAGATTAGTTCCATATTTCCTGCGTTAACAATAGTGTTTAACCTTTTAATTGTCAACAACACTGTGCAATGTTTACTTTGACTTTTTTAATTATTCTCTAATTCTCTTTGTCTTTAGAGCGTCTTCAATGGGTTACATGTAATTTTTGTGCCTTATTCAGTAATGCAAGTTGATCCTGGCTCTTGGTTACGTATGGTTACCAAGTACCGAGGTAATTATTTGCTTTATACAATATATGCATGAATTAAATGCTAATGTACCGTTTCATACATATATTTGTGAATATTTTACTAATAATACTATTAAGTAATTAACTAGTATATGACCATCTTTACACTCTCATTGAAATATGAGTTTTTATTGTCACTGAAATTCAATATATTCACTTCTTTTATTTCGGCGTTCTCAAAAGTTTTTATTTTACAAAACTATGTTGTGAAAAGATTTATATAGTTCAATGATTGTTATCATCATAAACTGAACATAAACTTAAACATGATTTCCGTATTTTGTAGCATATTTCTAGCATAACATTTTCATGATAGTTGACTTTGAATAGTGTATAAAATTATAAGCAAAGATGGATAGTGGCTAGTAGTGGAATCCAGGACGCGCGTTTCGTCCTATTCGGGGCTCGTCTGCTGGATGTAGCTCCATCTCAGAGTTGATTTTTACTCTGGGACTCGAACACAGTACCTTTCGCTTCAAACGCCATCGCGTTATCCACTGACCTACTGAGTCTTGATAGCCACTTGCTTGTGCAATGGGGTAAAGTTCAAATTCACTTAGCATTACTTGTTTGAATCTTCCCATTGATGTTTAGGACTTCAACTGGTCAGTATCTCATTGGACATGTGTGCATACTATGCGTATTGCCTCGATATATATAGCTGTAATTCACAAGAATTATAAGCAAAGATGGATAGTGGCTAGAAGTGGACATCAACTGTGAGATGCAGTTTCACCCAGCTGACGAGTCTGAAATAGGACGAAACGCGCGTCCTGGATTCCACTGCTAGCTACTATCCATCTTTGCTTATAGTGCTTGTGAATTAAGGCTATATCGAGGCAATACGCACAGTATGCACACATGTCCAATGAGATACTGACTAGTTGCAGTCCTAAACATCAATGGGAAGATTCAAGCAAGTAATACTGAGTGTATAAAATTGTTTAATGAAAACAAGAGTTATCAATCAAATTATATTTAAGTTTTTCTATAAACTACATCATTGTTGTGAAATAGTTAAGCACCGTTATATCTGGTTTAACTTTGATATATAAAAACAGAAACGACTTGAATGCTTTGATAGGTTGATTAATATTGGTTTCGTATGTAAATAATTGTTTAAAGTAAATTGTTTAAAGCCCTTATAAAATTATTGCATTAATTGACCAAAACTAGATTATTTTTTAATTGTTTTGTGAGAGGTTGTAGAAACGCTTGAGGGGTTTAAAAAGCATGGTATTGACTACTGGTGTATTTTGTATGTTTGTAAGGAATTCGAACGTTAATCGTAATCTGTCTTTAAAGACATTAGTTAACACTATTGGAAAGTGTTTGCGGTAACTCAGATTTCTTCATTCATTCCATTTCTATATTGAAATACTAAATTTAATTATGCTTCCACATTATTTATTTTCTTTCCAATTTCGTTCCTTATAAAACATTGATATTATTCACTGTTAATCATTGTAGTTCATTTTTGTGTGGTTCCGGTGAAAAGCGTCGGAACATAAAGTGATAACCGATCACTTTTATTTCGTTATCGCCTGTAAAGTAGTATATGCTTAGTTCGAAATATACTGAAAAGATAAAAGCTTACTACAATACAAGTTTGTTTGTGGAAAAGTTTCAAAAACACGTAAAAATGCTTATTCCGGTTTTCGCTGATAATAATTAACCTCAATAGGTAATTTTGAATAGTGATTATTACGTTTTATCTGCATTGGTTATGCGAAAAATGCATAATATTTATTCAGACCGAATTTATAAGTTTAACTTACTATAATTTCCAAAATTTTATAAAAACCATATCATATGTTTGTCTCGTCCAATTTTGTTCTTGTCTAAAGAGTCGTCTGTCAGTTTGACTATTTCTGTTTACATATCTGCGTATGTTGCCATGTCCAATGCATAGATTGTAAACAATATTTATCTTCGTCACATATAAATATGCATTCGGTCGTTTTCTATGTTTAAAATCCATCCCATGAATTATTCAATGTGAAATACTATTTGAAGGTATTTCTTTGTGTCTACTTGCCTACCGTACTTTTCATGATCTGTTTTTTGTCTACATATTCACATATCATTCATTCCCTATCTTTTAATAAATTTTTACTACCGTATTATATTGCCAGTTATTTTTTGCCGTCTTCATTTAATCCTACTTATACTCTCAGTTTTTTTTTCATTTACTAATTTCTTTCAGCAACTGTTGCTATTGTAAAAAGTCGTGATATGCATTGGGCATTATTAGCTGAACGGGATCATCCTAATGTAAACTTATCTTCATTACGTATGCTTCTAGTTGCAGATGGATCAAATCCTTGTAAGTTTTAGTTGAAAATGATTTTGCTCTTGGAAAATCTTAGTTGATTTATTCATGACGAACAGATAATTGATTGGTATTACTTTTTATGGTATATAAGTATAAAATAACGGCCCCGGAATGCCCTTGTACGACTGAAAGTCGGAAGAGTCAATTCCCCCTCTCAAAATGCTATCACATATGTATGGCCACGCGTATACAATCAAAGCGAATGTCCGGTGCTTTAAACGGGTTGGTGGATATAGAGGGTCCACCTAGGAGAGTTGGAAAACTCTGATTCCAAACCAATGTTGCACATGGGTAGAGGATCCTAAGGAAATAAATAACTTATGGGTCACTAGTTGTTGGTCACTAGTTACCATTGGACTGCATCTCCTGACGTTGCTCCACTGCCTTGTGGATTAGACCTTTAGGTCAAATGCTGAGGGTGTGTCCCCTAAGAAAACCACCTTCTTCAGTTTGGTCATCCGGGCAGCATCTCAGGTGTCACACAAATCGAATGATGAAGTGTGGCGCATTAGGTTTGTTACTTCCTTGTACCAATATTTACATGTTTAAATAAATAAACATATAATTGAAATACCAGTATTTTGGTCTTGTAATTGAAAATCTATGTTATGTTATATCATTTTAATTGAACTGATAAATTAATATGAATGGAATTAAAAGCGGTCGATGGGTTTTGTATTTGAAATAAAACTGTTAATTTTACTCAACAGTTTTCTCTCAGTAGTGCTTCTCAACAATAACTGTATTTTTCGTATGTGGAAAAGAGTATGTTAGAATTTCACGTAGTATTATCACTTACATATGTAATTCAGTCAGTATCACATTCTGATCAATTCTCTTAAGATTCTACTTCATTTAAATGTAGCTTCAACTTCTGTTCATCATAATTTCATGTAAAATTCCCAATAAATTTCAATTTAAGCACGAGATAAATTTTCTACTTTCTCATTGATTTAACCATCTAACAGGGTTGATTAGTAAACTTAATTTTTATAATTTACGTTTGATGATAAGAGTTGAAACATAGAGCCTGAGTAACCAATCTTGTTCTCTATTGATTGAGCAGCCTAGCTTAACTGCTAACTAATTGTCGAATTGTCACTGATTCAATCTATGAATAAATATGAAGCTAACAGTACTTTATCAGTGTAGCTCCCCAAATCTCATCGATTATTAATTAATTGAGGGCTCATCCTAAAAAAGGGAACCTTCACCTTCCAGGTAGTAGAGTTCTTATTCATTTAACTTGTTTTTTTTTTAATCACCAAATCTCGTGATTCACTGTATCAAAATGTTCCATTTTTATGCATGAAGATAATAATAATAATTTAACTCAACTATGTATAGATGTTGCGTTAGTCGAGTCAATCACCATATGATATCGTTTATTTATAAAGCAGTTTGTTAAATTTCATTTATCTATTCATATATTTAAACAAGGTTAAGATTGATTTGATTGACACATAAGTTCACTTAACAGAAACCATTTTTTTTACTTTTGAAAAACGATAAACAAAATATTGAAATTCTACATTATACATCAGTTTGTGATGTAAAACTTTAAATTCATCAGTAGTCCACACATTACCCAATAATAAAATATTTATGGAATAATCCATTTAAATTGTTTTAATTTCTTTTGTCCATTATGTAATCTAAGTTTTGGAATGTTTAACAATAAGCAATTAGAAGTGGGTTTTGTGAAGATATCAGTATTTTCATAGTTGAAATCATGATTCAATTGAAGCTAGACCGCCATAGAAAACCTGGAAGCACTGGACGGCCGTTTCGTCCTATTATGGGATTCCTTAGCAGTGCGTATCCATGATCCCGCCTCGCGAGATTCGAACCCAGGACCCACTAGTCTCGCACCGGAAATAATTTTTGTTAATTTATTAAGATAACTGGAAATTTGTACAAACGAAATCTGCATGAAGAAAAGTAGTGGCGGTCATCATATAGACATATGTTTCAATATACAATATGAAGGCTAATTTCCAACTTTCTACTCGATTGTAACCACACATCGAATTGTCATCGCTTATTTGTTTCCTTGAGTTTTTAAAGGCTGGGTTGAAGAATACAAAATTGCTATTTGAAGTTGTGTTTTTATTGAGTTATTCAACCTATTTACGCAACAGTTGTTCAGTGAATTTGATGTGTAAACGATTTGATAACTAACTTTTGTTTTTTTCTTGACTTTTTTTAAGGGTCTTTAAACTCTTGCGATTCTTTTACACAAAAATTCCGATCTCGAGGATTTTCTCCTGATGCTATCTGTCCATGCGCTGGAAGTTCAGAAACACTAACACTTTGTTTACGTCGTCCACCTCATCAAATAAATTCAGTAAATGGCAAAATATGCACAAACTCTCGTTCTGATTCACTTATAGCCTCTCCACCTAGTTCAGTAAGAGGAGTTATTTCGATCCATAGTCTTACATATGGTGTTGTGCGTGTCGATACTGAAGATTCACTAACCTCACTTACTTTACAAGATTGTGGACAGGTTCTCCCAGGAGGTAAGGATTGATATTTATGTGAATACAGTTTTTGTCAGTTATTTTTACTACATGTTATACTACATATTGATGCTAACGAATGTCCCCTGTGTAAATAATCTCTTCGTATTACTTTAGCTTCGGCAGTTGTCATACGTTTGGGTCCCAAACCGATACTTTGTCAAACTGATGAAGTTGGTGAAATTTGCTTATCTTCTGATTGTACTGGTTCTGGATATTGGGGTCTTCGTGGCCAAACTGACGCACATTTTCATGTGGAACCGATACATGAGGATGGTACTCCTGTATGCTCTTCTACTGGTGTTAAAAAGTATACACGATCTGGATTTATGGGGTTTCCTGGTCCAGCATCATCTGTGAGTGAATCGTGGTTGTTTTCCTGTTGAATGCTTTTATTTACACGGTAGTAGTTAAGTGTTTGAAATGAATAAAGAAGTCTATAAAATATATTGTCAACAACTGAATAAAGTTAGTTGAATAACGTTAGTCCATTCTCAGCGCTTCGATTATCTTTGATTTTAAATTGTATGGTGTTTATTGTGCTTTTAAACTAAACTTTATATCATTAGATTTCCAAGTTGATCTCTCTCAGTTACCACGCATCTGAGTAGGGCATAGGATGACGTGGGTTCGAGTCGTATTATGTCCTGTTAACAAGTGGCGATTATTACATAGCTGAATTCATAGATTCCTGTCCATTGTTTTTAAGTAATTTTTCATCCACTTCTGTGTCTCTTTAAATGTAATGCTCTAAAAAGAATAATTGTAATAACATTTGACTTTGTTAATTTCATTTTAGGGTGGTTTAATTTTTATATCGGGTTGCATTGATGGCTTAATGACTATTGCAAGTAGACGTCACAACGGTGATGATATTATAGCAACAGTTCTCGCTGTTCAACCAACAAAAATTATTTACAGGGGAAGGTATGTTTCATTTCATACGATTTTTCCTATTTATAAACTTTAATAAAGAATAAATAGATATCGGGTCAGAATAACTTGGATTCATTCATTTTGTGCATTCTCCTCAGCTGTTTGCAACCTAAAGCAAGTGTACATGCTTTATGTCGGAAACATACGGAACCAATTAATTTCATATGTGGAGATAGAATAATAATATGGAAGGATTACCATCGTTCTCATGTTCGCTTATTTACGTATTACATTCTGGAACATTCTGGAAAATCGTGGAAATAGAATTTTTACCCGAAATCGAAGATGGATTATGTGATACTTTCTGAGCTTTACTCATCTAGTCTATATTTTTAAGGTACCTATGAATAAGCGAACGTTTGAACAATCCTTCTCCATTATTACTTGTTATTATTCTATCTTCACTCATGACGTTTCCGATATAAAGTATATAGACTTGTTTCGTTTTAATGACGAATACTATAGTTTTAAGTTGTAAGCAGCTGAAGAGAATCTAAAAAAATAAGTGAATTCATGTTATTCTGCCCTGGTATTTGTTCTTCATACATTTTTATGGATTTCGCATTTCTAGTTTTAGGTTGTTTTCTGGTCAGATTATTTACCATTGTAAATTAATTCACAATTAAACAAGGTTCTCAACCGGTCACTACATTCGAAGCAATAGTATTCATGACTGTTACACTTCACATTAAATTTGTAACAAAATAAGACTAATACGATAAGTAATCAAAGTGCCGAACTAACAATATTGTTATGGACTAAACATTGAGGATATGGTTCTGAAAAGTTAGTATAAATAAACATTGACTCTTGAAATCTAGGAATAGTTATAAAATTGGTGTATCTTGCATTAACGTGTTACATTCTGATTCGTTAGGTCGAACCACAATTGATATATATATATATATATATATATATATATATATATATATATATATATATATATATATAGCCCGTCACGCTCTATTTCAACTTTCATATTGAAAACCAGTTTCCTTTATTTTGCATGTGGTCAATTTATCGAAGACTAACTGTTAGTTGGATAGTTTTAACCGTTATACCATTCTCTTGAACTTTTTTAACACATACCTATCTTTGAACAGGATTGCTGTTTTCTCAGTGGATTTACTAAAAGATGAACGTCTTGTTATTGTTGCTGAATTAAGACAAGGTTATTCAGATGAAGCTGCTTTCACATGGATGTCTCTTGTGCTGCAAGCTGTTGATAGTATTCATCAAGTTAGTGTTTATTGTTTAGCTTTGGTACATCAAAATACATTGCCGAAAGTGAGTTTCACGTGTATTTTGTTAACCTTATATTATTATCTGTTGTAGTCGCATTGTTAATATTTAATTGATACCTTCCAAGTGGTTCTTTCAAGGAAAAAAAAAATCAAAATATCCCAATTTGTTTCCAGATTTTTATGAAACAGGCAATTATTTTACTTCTAAATAATGGTTTATTGTGTTCAATCAAAATATCCACTTTCAATAACTAAGTCTAGTATTAATGAACGTTGTTTTGTCGTGAGAAGCATCAGGATACTCACTTTTCAAATGTCACATGTGACTGTGTAATGATTATACTACTCCATGGATATTTCAAATGGAAAACCTTACTCTAGCTAACGTAGAATTTAATAGTTGTATTTTGGGGAGTTTAAGCTACACGTTTATTGTTTTTGCTATTAAAAAAGAAACATCTTAATACTTACCGTATGTAACCGTCCTTCTCCTTCTCAGTTGATAATTTATTACTTCTGTCAGTTATATTTTTAATCATGATTACCGACTTAATCCAGGACTTGTATTTCAAACTTATTTTTGGCTCATTGTCGGTAACCTATCTAGTGTCATTTTCCGACTTTAACTCGAATCCATCTGCTATTGTTTCGGATTTTCTCCAAACCGCATGATTACAAAACGTGCTTTTTTACAAGTGTTTTATTGTCATAATACAGCAACTCAAAATGACAACACACTTTGTCATAACCATCAATAATATATTTTGCAAGGAGTTATGGCTTCCTCCAGGTGGTTTTTCTGTGACATGTTAAAAATCAATATTTTTAAGCAAATCACATTTTCACTAACTGAAATACTATCATGAACTTTGTATCAAATAACGTACGTTTTTACTAAATTACGCATTAACACAAATATTTGAAATCTAAGTCACTTCATTTAATTGTCATACTGCATTTTTTTGATCCCTCTTTAAAAATCTTATTCAAACGTGATGTTAGTTGTTTCTCTACTGTTCCTTACCTGTACTTCACATGAAATATCAAAAATTATCCCGTTACTGTCTCGGTCTCTTCTCTGTCTCTCTTTCTCCGTATCAACCAATCCCTCTAAATATTGATTTTTGTTGATTAATTTCACTTTCTCTTTGAATGACCAGTGTTTATACTTCAACTTACATAAATAAAAAAATATGTATATGTGTATAAATGTACGAGTGCATTCATCTATCTGTCCATCATTCAACTTTCTCTAGGACAATTTGTTTCTGTCAGAAAAAAACCTTACTGATCTAAATGTTGCTGTGAATATATTTTCGTATCGTCTCACACTTCCTACATATCCTATATTCATTGTTAACTGAACAGAATGTTGCTCCTTTTTCACAACAACAACAAAAACCAGATCAATAATAATCTGCTCGTAATCTATCTAATTCATGATATCTTTTTTTCTTGTAAGGTTTAATTATTTAGTTGATCAATAATTGTTGGGACTTTTAGTTGTTTCTTCATTTTTTTCGTTTACAACTCAGAATTCGTTGTTAATTATGTGCATAGCTGATGACATGCACACTGTTATTGCCTAGTTGTTTTTTTCTAAATTGTGACTGTACATATCTATTATGGTAATGAGTCTGTAGTCAGTAGTTGGAGAATTTGTAAACAAATAACGACAGCGGAACAGCTTTCATACTAGATACACAAATTCTTTCACTTCAGGTTTGCGATTCTTTTTCTATGTTTGTGTGTGCCGTTGTCCGGTGAACTCTCATGACTCATCTATCCAAATAGTGATTAATTCTGTTAGAATATGTAAGTATTTAGTGTAAGTATCAACCACGATTAGAATAGTTTGCTTATTAATCAGTGATGGACGGTGGTTTACAGTGGAATGCAGGACACACTTTTCCGTCTGTTTAGGACTTGTCAGCTGGACGTGTTGACTCCTATATATCATATATCTCTGCCTAAAATCCTTATGAATTAATGGTCGATATAAAGGTGATTAGCAGACGATCCACATAATGCCCAAATCGATAGATTACAGTTCCAAACATCAATAAGAGGATCCAAACAACCAATATATTTATAAATTGTTTGTTTTTCATGCGCAAAAATTGGGTAAGAATAGTTCGAATAGTGAACAACATAACTAAAAAATCGTTATTGTGTGTCGTAGAATTAACCTTTAAATATTTCGACAATCTTTATTCATTTTATCATACTAATTCTTTTAATCACCACTCCGGTCGATTCACTAGTGTAGTAGAGGTTTCATTTTAACTCTGTGAAATCACACTCTAATCACTGATTATTTTTCAGAGCTTTATATAAAGTTAGGCATCACCTATTGAAATTCATATAATTGTTAGGAGTTTGTTCAATTTTATGGTTTCATGTATATCTAGAGGACTATTTGTTAAAGTTCAGAAAAATTTATGTGAAAGTCATATCACTATGTATCTAAACCTGTTCTTTCTGTAAAAAAATTATTTACACGTCCCTATCTTAGAGAGGAGATTTCAATTCTATAATTTATATGAAGTATGCAGACATAGTCGCTTAACTTTACTGAATGAACAAAGTTTTTTTATTTTGCTTATGTTTCAGCATAATATTATAGATAACATAACATCGGATTGTGTACGACCCCTCTTAGTGTCGATGCTCATTAGTAGGTCTAAATAATCGAACTATTTATTCGGAAGCTTAGTCCATCTCAGAATTGTGTAAAGTTAGTTAGCTATATTCCCCTATAAGCAAATATATTACTGAAGTAATTCAGAGAAATCTTAAAATAACTTTCCAATCACTAGTTATCTATTTGTTTGACCACTACCTGGCTACTTGTGAAATTCCATGAAAAGTAAATGTTCAAAATGCGTTGTATAATTACACCACAGTTTTTCCATCCACTTCTGATTACAAAGGATTTTGGTTTGGGATTGACCTTAGTAGTTTCGTTCTATTGCGCGACCTTTTAACAGTATTTCTGTAATCCGGTTTTCTCAATTCTTAGATATTTCCGTGATGTATAACATTTACATTTTCAGCTTATTTTTAAGATGTAGATTTTTTGTATCGGTAAATTTCTGGCTTTACTTATATTGGATGAAAAAAGTTTTTTTTCCCATTGTTTTCAACAACAATAATGTTATGTTTATTCGTTATTTACAGACGCCTTTTGGTGGAATAAATTGCCATTCTGTGAAAAGACTTTTTTCTGAAGGACAGTTGCATCCTACAGCATTGTTGCTTTGTCCTCATTCTGCTATACAAAATCTACCCCAACCTCGACAACTCAGGCCTAGTTTGGTTGGACCATCTGCTATGATGGTTGGTCAAGTTGTTCAAGGAGTTAGGCTAGCAGAGGCACGTGGAAGACCTTTAGGATCATCTCCATCTTCTAATATAATTTCCAGTTCACCTGATAATGAAGTAAGTTATTATAATTGTTAGTGTCAACTGTTCTTGTTCTTATCTCCAGATGTGTCTTCCATAATTTTATTATAATGCAGCTGTTAGTATTTTAATAGTGTAGAATATTTTCGACGAAGTTTCTGGTATTAAATTGCGTTTATTCACTACATTGAAATTCAGCTAAATTGAACGGTTGCTTCTTAATTGTATACGTAACAAAAACGTAGGTACAGCTTCATCTAAAGAGGGTATACAATGTTTGAAAGGATTCCTGCACACAAATTCATAGTTCTATATATGACTCATACATAATGGTTTGAAATTCAGGTCTGCAGAACAATACTATTTGCTAGTTAACACTAGTAAACTGAGACCATATTTGTCTTCGATAAAACATGTGGGGAAAATGTGTCTATTAATGAAATTTTCACAAGATCCACTAAATAAGATTAATCAAAATTTATTTTTGAATATCAACAAGGAGATAAGTCAAAAACCCACTCAAATTAAGTTGTTTAAAATAAAGTTCGAAAAAGCAAATCAATTATATGTAAAGAAATTTGAATTCACTGAAAACCGAATACTTATTGTGTATGCATTTCTCTTCACTTATTTTCCAAAGTTTCAACTGTTAACTGAGATACTTATTCACAGAGCAAATCATACCCCAGATGACAGATTATTTACTGTTTATAATACTAAAGGACAAGAAGTTTCGACGCTTACTTGTAGTCAACTTTTACGTCGTTCAGAAAGATTAGCAGTTCAGTTAAAAGAAAAAGGTAAAGCTCAAGTGGGAACAATTGTTGCTTTACTGTATCCTCCAGGTGGGTTTCATTTCATTTTTCTTCATTTTTGTCAAGTGGATAACTATTATATTTCTTACCTGTAAATTATTTTCATCCTCCTATTTTCCTCAAACTCTTTGATCATTATGATGCAACCTCTATTTGATATTTGAAATCCCGGATCGCTTTATGATGCAATCTCTTTTTTGTTTCTATAGACTTAGGTATTTATCATGTAACTATGACAACGAATGTACAGCTTAAGTAAGCGATTTCATTGAAAAGGAAATTTTCTGCGCTGAGTTCTCTTTGTAATCTAATTGATGAATTGGATGTTATGGATTTCATAAGTATGATATTATAATATAGTGTTATAACTTGTGACCTTGTGCGCTATTAATATAAAACGTAATGATACCGACACAGTAAAAAATATATTTATAGTATTAATCCATAAATATATCCCAACAGTTGCCATTCATTATTCTCGTCGGGATGTATCTTATAATGAGTTGCATTCGTTGTTAGCTGTGTTTTATGTAGTAGGTGTCATGGTATCGTCCTTGTGTATTATTGCCATGATACCCAAATTATAGGAAGATATCGTTTATCAGTAGAAAGGTCTTAAGGTATGTTTGGATCATAAGTTTTATTTTGAGTTAAAAATCGACCAACCGTCAGCAGACCGTGTTTATGTTCTCTAGGTCCGTTTCCAAAGGCGTTTCGATGGGACAAACTTTTTTTAAAAATCTGTTCTGGTTTACGACGTATTTAGTCGAATTTCTATTGTCAGTAAATAGTTCGGCAGCATAATTAGAGAATATATATATATATATATATATGCATTTGTTGTAATTTCCACAAAAAATATCTAAGAACTTGTTGAAATATTATATTCTAAGAATTCTATATTGTAGTTAACATTTTATATAGAGTAAAATGATTATTATCATTATTACTGTTAAATAAAATTAAGTAATACATAATCTATATGGCTTCGTAGTCTATATCAGCCTTATACTGTTCAACATGACCATTTAAGCTTGTAATTTTAACGTAATACATTTATCTGAAATATATGTAAAAACCTCGTATGAGACCGAACACCTATGTAATATTCAAATGTGTCACTCTAATCCTATTCATTATTTTTTACTTATTCGAATGAATAATTATGCATTTTTATCCATGTATTATATATGGCTGTTTGTATGTATCTATCTTTCGCATTAACTGCTTATGACCATATAAACCCATTGAATAATTTATACTACAATCCATTCTTAAATTAATCCACTAATCACTCTGTTGATTGCCAAATTACTCCATACAGCACAAACATTGAACACTACATCATGCCACACCATATTATTTACATCTGTAATCTCTGTACTTTATACACATGGTCTTCCGAACCAGTATATCTATTCTCAGAGTATTTGGTTTCTGACTTCTAGTATCGTGTGCTCACCTTATATCTCATTACATAATATGATCAGTCCAGGAAAATCTACATAATTAATAAGAATTTAAAATAATCGTAGTCAGTTGAAAGAAAACTGTTGTAATGTTTTATGCTTATAAACGATGTCAGATTTTCAAGAATCAAAATATCATTTATATGATACATCCAAATTTCATGATGAGAAGATTAGATGTATTATTTGTAAATATTGTATTTGAATTAATCTCGACGATTGGGATTTGAATAATTCCAACGTTCCGTTCACCATAATTGTCTGGATCTTTTAAGGGTAATAATCAAATTCAATATTATCAAAGAGCATATATAATGTATTACAATCCAATTATATTCAGATGTTGAAGTAGGATAACATGAGTCATAAAACGTTAGCCTAATTTCTGTCAAACTGTTCATTCAAGCAACAACGAATATTCGTACATGCATAAATGTAGTTAAGAAATAACATATTTTTGAAAAATGGTTGTTCTTTTGAATAAACTTAATATAAGATGATGTAAAGACGAATTTTATCAACAAACCATCAGTTCACTACTTTTCTCATAATGTGATCACGTTGTTTAAATTATTAGTATCATAACATAAATAAAAAAGGGTCAAAATAAATCAATAGAACGAGCAACATTATCAGCTACATCATAAATATCAAAAGTCGGCACAAACAAACTCATGTGACATATATCATTTTTCATTCATTGTAAACTATGTTTTTCATCGACCAACTGACCTACGAATAAACCCAATTTTTATAACGAAGCGTATAATATATGATCACAAATAAGTACTTAAAATCGCTAAATCTAAAACTATACAGACATTGAAATGTTTTGCTAAAATATTTTTACTTAGACGTAGCCCTTTTTGGTAATATTAATTTTCAGTAGAGTTAAACTACACTGACGGACATGGGCGATTCTAAGAGCAATCCTAAGGTTACCTTTCAATCTCTTCACCTAGTCAGAATGCAGCTTTTGTGAATGAAATGCATTTCACGGAAAACCGGCAGAATTACAAGGAATGTGGAGTTTTAAAATGCTACTGTCCTCAGCCTGTTATCCTAAGCGTAACAATGCCAACCTCTAACACCATACACCTCACACTCCTAAATTTAGAAATCCTAAGATAACCTAATACATGGACTCTGTGCCTTTTCTGCATACCATTTCCTGACTACAGTTTTATAACATGCTTTTTCTCAATAATTTACCGTTCTGTTGGTGATCTATCACGATATTATCATTGAAATTAGCCGAAATGCGAGATCTTGTAATGAAATTTATCCGGTAGTTGTGCATTCGCAATTCCGTTTTGAAAATCTAGCCTAAATTCATTGTGATTATTTATTTATTTATTCATTTAAACATAAATATTGGTACAAGGAAGCACCAGATACATATGCGCCATACAAATCTCATTCGATTTCTGTGAGGGCTGTGATACTGCTCAGGTGCCTAAACTGAAGCAGGTGGTTTTCTTAGGGGGCCACACCTGAAGCCTTTGACCTAAAGGTCTAGTCCACAATGCAGTGGAGCATCGTAAGGAGATCCAGTCCCATAGTAGCCGGTGACCAACGATTGATTCATACGCCATTTGTTCCCTCAGGATACTGGAACCTATGTGCACCATTAGTTTGGAATCAGGGTTTTCCAACTGCTCTAGGTGAAGTCGCCTTGTCCACCAACCCGGTTAAAGCGCAGGACATTGGCTTTCCGTCCTCAATTTCGTAAACAACACCCTGCCACGAGAAGGCAGTGAGTAGGACTTCCCTGTCAGAGGCTATATATTCGCTGGCCATGTGAGAGCATTTGGAGAGGGAGAGCGGACTCTCCCCACTCTCGGCCGTACTAGGGCATTTGGAGTCCCGATTTTATCTCTTCCAAGGCTGTCAGTATAGTTTAATTCTATGGATTTTTCCTTTGTTATACATGTGAAAATATTTAGTGTTTTTCCTTTCTCATTTTCATTCATTATTATCGTAATAATTACTGTGTGATCAGACTTCCGGAAATGTATTCAGCTAATTTTTACAGATAAGGATACTGATAAACTCCATCTTCTAACTGTACTATATTAACATATATTTTAAAACTATGATTTTGATCAATCATTAATAAGCAGACAATAACATTGACCAACCTTTCATCATGTTGACTTACATTTACTTTGTAGTTTGAAATGTTTCTAAATCAGCATACATTTCGTTACTTATGATTAAGAACTCATTTATTTCAGGAGCAGTACTATAATAAATCCTTTGCTACAAATCTATTTCATTCTGATAATTTGTCTTTTATAGTTATAACCACATCTTCAATGTTCCTATCTGTTTGTTTCCCTTAAAGTTAAATTTATGTTTAAAAAAAGCGTTTCAGCCAATCATTCATTGTATTTGCTAACATTTCAATTCAGTGATGAATTAGTGTTTATTATCATGTTGAATAGTGTATTAGCAGTATATCATGTTCCTATGTATCCTTTCTTTTTTACTTCTTTTATACTTTTACAGGCACTGAGCTTGTTTGTGCATTTTACGCTTGCCTTCTAATTGGTGCCATTCCTGTACCGGTACGCCCACCTCGAATAGATTCTTCTGCTCCTGGTGGTGGTAGCTCTGTTAGTGCTACAATTGGTTCTGGTCCTATTGGGCTATTATCTGGACCACCTGGTTCAGGATCATCATCCGGTATAAGTTTATTAGGTTTAGGAGGTGGTGGTGGTCATAATGGGAATTCACCGGTTAGTGGTAGTGCTGGTCAATTGTCTTCTGGTACTGGAAGCTTTCCCAATGTATACTTTCGGCCGAACACTCCTAGTTTAGACGCTTCATTGGATTTAATTTGGAATGTTGTAAAGCACTCAGGAGCAACAGTTATTTTCACACAAAATAATTTGATTAAACTATTGAAATCCAAGGTCAGTGCACATAGCATTCTATGATTTCCATTTGTTAATGGGATCATTTTGGAATGTTGTGATTTGTGATTTGTTATTGTTCCTTATGAATGACTAAATGTGATTCTTTATACGAATATTCGTCAAGATTAGAACGAATTGTTTGACAATAATTGGGCGCCGAGTATAGAGAAGTCATTATATGTGAAAAATTATATTTGAAATAGTCTCAGCGATTGACATTTAAATAATTCCAACGTTTCGTCCTGCTAACTTGTCTGGACTTCTTCAGGTAAAATCCCGTTTTACAAAAAAAATCGACATCCAAATATGATTGGATTAAAGTAGTAGAGATTTTAATATGATTGTTAAAAACACTATATTTCTTTGATGATTTTGATTATTTCCCTGAAGAAGTCCAGACAAGTTAGCGGGACGAAACTTTTGAATTATTTAAATTTCAATCGCTGAGACTATTTCAAATATAATTTTTCACATATAAAGATGATTCGTTTGAGGTTTCGTTTCAATCAATCTATATTATATTCTCATAACTAATATCCCTTATATAGTACAGTGTGACATTTTCCATTTAAACATTGAGGTTCTCAACTCCTAATCTATGGTTTGTTCTAATTGAGACTCAACGGTAAAGAGTACCTGTAATCTTCATGAAGCTTATATTCCCTGTGGGTGACAAGCCAGCTTCACTCATTCTCACAGTGGTAAAGTCTAGAACTATGAAGCTAGGTGATGCTAGTTTAGATCCTACACAGGGCATCAGTTTCCTCAAGAATGCAAGTACACCTTGCTGTTGTTTACCAACTGGTAAGAAACCTAGGTACATAATTTGCTGCAGATTACCTTCAACATGCACTATCAATCTCTAGTGACTTACACTAGCAGCCATTTTCCGACTCGTCTGATGGAATTGGGTCAACAACTAAGGACTAGATAAATATGACATTATTCAATACCAGGTGAATTATATATATATATATATATATATATATATATATATATATCGCTTCATGATAAATTGGTACTTAAATTAACATTTATCTAATCGAAACGTCTTCATGTAGCAGATTTTCACTGTGTCCATGGTTAAGAAGCTAGATGTCGATTATGAAAGATGTACGGTTGTTGAAGAAGACTAAAGGGAACTAGAGAAATGTATTGTATTAATTTTATTCTGACTAACAGTTCACATACGTGACTCAGTCACGTATTTTATTTTTCTATATAAACAAAAAAACAACAGAATTCAACGTTTTATAGTGTTGTTTATTAATTTTATACGTTAGTTAAATAAATGCTAAATGCCAGTATTATGTAAAGCAATTATATTCATAATGTGTCCATTATCAGTCTTTATATGGATGTGGTACAGTTACTATATTATTTGCTCGATTTTCAATTACTGGCACTTTAGTTTTCGGTTCTACTTGAATAATAAATATACCTTAAATTTTCAATCAATTTGACCAAACTGTCGCAATAAACGTGATTAAAGCTGGTTTCTTTTATTATGTAGTTATGATCTATGATTTTAGTTTTCCACTTTTAGATTAATATAACTGATGATTTGCATTATTTCCCCTCTCTGAAATATACTATGCTAATACAAAAATATAATCATAATGATAATGAACTTTTGGTTCATTAATACGATATCTAATACAAAGTATTTAGATATTATTGAATCCTGTCGTATAACGCATATATAGCATTGGGATTACCATTTATAGAAAAAGGATCGACTATCAAAAACACGAGCCTGGAAAACCCTAATCCTTCTGTTACTATTAGAGTGGGGGACTGTGGAGATTGTAGTAAAATTAATTGTTGAATTCATGAGTCAATTTAAGCTAGACCACTTGAAAGCCTGGATCGCCGTTTCTTACTAGTATGGGACCCCTAAGCAGTGCGAGATCGAAGGTTCGGGGTTCCAGTCGCGCATGCGGAGTCATGGATGCTCACTGCTGAGGAGTTCCGTACTAGGATGACACAGCCGTCCAGTGCTTCCAGGCATTCAATTGTGGTCTAGCATAAATTGACTCATGAATTCAACTATTAATTTTACTGCAATCTTCACAATTCCCCATTCTAATAATAACAAAGATGTTATTTTCCGAAGGATTAGGGCTTTTCCGGGTTCGTGTTTTTGATAGTCGATCCATTTTTATATAAGTGTCAATCCCAATGCTATATATGCGTTATATAAAAAGTTTAAATAATATCTAAATACTTTGTATTAAATACTGTTTTATCGTAACGCAAATTTCAGACTTACCGCAAGACTGGTTCATGTTGGCGCGTTTTTAATACCGTTAAATTGACACTCTAAACGGCACATAATACGGAGATCGCATCACGTTATTCCAAATATATAATTCATGATGAAGAATAGAAAACCAAAGCAAATGCTTAACAATACTTTTTTCCACTCAATTATAAGCAGTTTACTCTGATTGAATCCGAAGTAAAAATGAGTAACAGGGAAGGAAATCGCCTGTTTAACTGTCAATTAGCCGTATGCCTATTTGCTCATACTCGGTGACCAATCACATTTACTTTCATTATCACACATCATAGATTAATCTATTTGCATTGTGATCTGAATTTACTACAAATCTAGGTTATGTTGCTCATCTGGAAAGTGATTTCTAAGTGAATTTGAGGGAAAATTTCTGTTCATTTAAACCACACTCATAAAAGTGTTTTATAATAGAAGTTTCAAAAATTAACTTGGTTTCTGAAAATTGTTTTTCTTAAATTTTTAGGAGGCTACTAATCGTATTCCTTTTAATCATTGGCCAATAATACTTGACTCTGACGAATACAATAGACGGAAATCGAATTTCACTATTCAAACACCTTGTCTAGATCAACCAATTGCTTATTTGGATTTTGCTGCATCAACAACAGGTATGTCTTATTAATTGTTAATTAGTTTGTTTAAAAGCTATGAGTGAACGCGTCTGGTGAGCTATAAATTGTACTTTTTATAAATCAGATATAAATTATTTAAAAAGAAATACATATACTTATTGTAGTGAACAAGAACACAGGTGGGGACAACCAATGTTTTTTAATACAAAATTACAGAAGAGAGTTAGGGGCGGCCAAACCAAAACGTGGCATCAGTGCTTGAAGTCACTAACGTCTAGTCTGAGCCATGTTGGCAGATGCAGACTACTTGGTTGGGGTCCGCGTGACTATCGTAACCAATGGCTGGAGACTCTGGGTGACATGGCTCAGAATCGATCACAATGGCGTAGGTGTCTACACTATCTTCCCTTAAACCTTGAGATTAAAATTGCTTCATAACTTTTTCCTTCCTATACTATATCCTTATATACAACCTATCTTTTATATAATATCACCACTAAATTAACTATTTCTATGAATCCGGTGTTTATCTTGCTGTGCTAACGAGGTATGGCAACTTGGACCGATGCATATGTGTACTTGGTCCTACGTTGTAGCTGACTGACTGACAGAATCTCTTGGTAAAATGGAGAACCATACATTGAATACTTTATTTACAAAATTCCATCATTTGTCCTTCACATTCCGTATGATTCTTCACAGCCACAATTTCTTTGTATTCCCGTTTCTGTTTTTTTTTCAATTCGACCTTCACAGCCTTCTGCTGCCATGCATTACTCTTCTTACATTCAGTAGTTAAAGTAATATAGGATACTGAATACGAAATTCCTATAACATGTGCTAGTGTAGAACACATTCTACTTTTGTTTAATGACATTTTGTTTTAACTTTTCCGACATAACCTAAAACAGCAAATTGTTTAAGTCTCGAGTAAAGCAATGGTTTTCATCAATATAATTAAATTATTTGTTCGAATGAAATGGTAAATTATTTAGTTCATAATAATATGTATAGTTTATGATTTGAATATCTAAATATCATGAATATTATATTGTTAGAAAGTCGCTTCATGTTGTTCACTACATTTAAACTCTCGTAGATTGTGTTTTGTCTTTTGTCTAACGATTCACTAGAATTGAAAGTAATTCATGTTTGTTCGAATACTTCATTCTGTGCAATGTGTAATAGTTTTTCTTTCCGCAATTGTTTAACGTGTATAAAAATGCATCGGTTTCACTGTTTTTTTATAGCCATTTATATGACCTTTGCATTATTCGACCAAATGTTTCTTATATAGTTAAGATCACGAGTCAATTGAAGCTAGACCACAATGGAAAACCTGGAAGCACTGAACGGCCGTTTCGTCCTATTCTGGGACTCCTCAACACAGTGCGCATCCACTATCTTGCCTCGCGAGATTCGAACTCAGGACCTACCAGTTCTCTTTGCGAGCGCTTAAGTACTAGACCACTGAGCTGGCATCGAATGGTGTTAATGCCTAACTTCAACCAATCCATGAAGTTGAGCAACCATTCATCAATGACGAAACGTCCATCCAGTGCTTCCAGGTTTTCCATGGTGATCTAGCTTCAATTGTTTCATGATCTCAACTATATGTAATAACTAAAATCTCCACAAAACCCCCTTCTAAAAATGTGTCTTGTTTTTTTTCAAGGAGAAACATAATTACATGTATAAAATTTCAATCTATGGTAGATTGTTGATTCAATGTCACATACTTTTTTGTTGTTGTTGACATTATTCCAAAGTTTGATACATTCACAATTGACTTCATGACCCTAAAAATAAATAAAAAACTAATTATAGAAATAATTACATTTCTAATTGGATAGATATCACAATTTACAATTTTTTTAAAAAAAATATTGAGTACATTATTTAAATAAATGTTAATAATGAAAACTGAAAAAAAAACACAATATGGATGAAGAAACATGTTGCTTAGCATATTGTTTTCCCCCTTATCAACGAATACTCTATACTTAATTTATATGTTTTACAATGAAGAATAAAATCAATATAAAATAAATAATCGTTGATTAGTTAAACAATGTTTTCTTTCCATATTGTAATTAATTAAAAGACAAACATATGTGAACAGATAACGAAAAAATAGATCGAATGATAAGACAATATAATCAGTTACATCATTTAAATAAATACGTAAAAACTCGTTATGTAAAAATTAGAATCTTTAAAAAAAATTTGAAATAAATTGATGAAATAGAAATATTTAGTGTTATTTGTAAAACTGATGAATAGTGGTAAGCAGTGGAATCCAAAACGAGCGTTTCGTCCTATTTGGGACTCATCAACTGGATGTACCTGTATCAATTGGAAGATTCAAACAAACAATATTAAGTTAATTTAAACTTCACCCCATTGCATAAGTAAGTGGCTATCAGGACTCAGTGGCCGAGTGGATAACGCGATGGCGTTTGAAGCGAAAGGTACTGTGTTCGAGTCTCAGAGTGAACATCAACTCTAAGATGCAGGTACATCCAGCTGACTAGTCCGGAAATTGGATGAAACGTGCGTCCTGGATTCTACTGCAAGCAACTATCCATCTTTGCTTATAATGCTTGTGAAATAAGGCTATATCGAGGCAATGCGCACAGTTTGCACGGAAAATAAGAGAATGATCAGTTGCAGTCCTAAACGTCAATGGAAAGATTCAAACAAATAATACTAAGTGAATTCATTAAAAACTAGTTGGAAGAAAATTCAGTAATCAGTTTATTAACATAGCTGAATAACATAAAACGAAGTTATTAATTTTGAAGTAAATATAATTGAAAATTTTGAGAAATGTAGTGATTGTGTGGATGAAGGCAATGGTATATTAAGAGGATGAACAAATTGTTTCTGCACACAAAGATTTGCTTTATTGATGTGTATACTTATGTTTTCTGTTGTGTGCAAAGGTAAAGTCTGGAAATATACGATAATTTCGATGAAATCATATAAATAACTTTAAAAGCTAAATTTGTATGGATATTAGAACAGTTCATGATGTATCTTTTAGCGTATCAGTTTCCTTAGTGTGGTAAATCATCGTTGTGATATACTAAAATAATCATCAATCAATCATTTAATAACAGACGAAAACCTTCTCCCACACTATGGGATGTTAAACCAGCCAATTATTACTTATTTATGCCTATTACCCCTCATGGAGGAGCATAGGACTCCCCCCAGCATTCTTCGACCATTATGCAGTTGAATGGTTTCTGCAGTGTGTGTCCTAATTTCCTCTTCAGATGGAAGCTGGTTTGTCCTTTCCTATACTAAGCTGTTGATGATGGTGTCTGACCAATGGACATTGACTATCTTGCGTAGAAAATTGCTTGTAAATGCTTGTACTTTTTTGATTATGGTTGTAGTAGTTCTCGGAGTTTCAGCTCTGTTCAGTAGAACTGTGTTTTCGTTTGTATTGAAGATTCTGAATTTCATGTTGGCTCGCAGACAGTTTTGAGTTCCATATGTAGTTCAACTGTAACAGCGTTACCCTTGCCTTTACGTACGCATTGGATCCTCCTTCTTCATCGATGATGCTGTCCAAGTATGTGAAAGTTTCTACCTCTTCCACAGTTTCTCCATCATGTGTTATTAGGTCGGTGCCCTCCGTGTTGTATTTGAGGATCTTGGTTTTTCCTTTGTGTATGTATAAGCCTACTGATGCAGAGGCGTCTGCTACACTAATGTCTTGACCTACATATGATTGTATGTAAGGGATATAAGGGCCAGGTCACTTGTGAAGTTCAAATAATCTATTTGTATCCAACCTGTCCATTGTATTCCGTGCTTCCCGTTAGATATAGAGGTCTTCATAATCCTGTCAACTACCAGAAGAAAGAAAGAGGAATAGAGTAGGCAGACTTGTTTGACACCGCTCCACACTTGGAACGCATCCGTCATCTGTCCTCCATGCACAACTTTACCTTGCAGTCCGTTGTATAAATTCCGTGTGGTTTTAGCGATCTTAGGTACACCATAGTGTCAAAGAAGTTTCCATAAAGTTCTATCCACATTTTCAAATTCCTTCTCATAGTGAAGGAAGTTGATGTATAGTGACGAGTTCCATCCAATTAATTGCTCAATAATCAGTCAGTTATTTTTAACGTAAGACCAGGCACATGTATACATCGGTTCAAGTTGCCATACCTCATTAGTATAAAAAGATGGATACCGAATTCATAGAAGTAGTTACGTCATTAGTAGTAAAATATAAAAGGCAGATTGTGCATAAAAATATAGTACAGAAAGAAAGAATTAGTTCGTAGAGATAAAGGTATAAAATAGTTAAAAGCTTATAGTTTACGGGAAGACAAAGAGTGTATACACCTACGTCATTGTGATCGATTTTGAAGCATATCAATCAGAGTCTCCAACCACTGGTTACAATAGTTGCACGGACCCCAATCGTCTCCAACACTATTCAGCAATGCCCGCCGTGGTCGTCGGTGGTTAGGCATAGGTATTACGTTGCCCAACCATCTCAGTCTATAGCCTAACAATGATACCTAGTGTAGCGATTTGGTCTGTGCATGACATCCTTACAGAATCCGGCCTGTTGATCTCGAAACTGGACGTCTACTTAATCCGGTTTAGCAACACTTGTTGAGAACGTTCCTTGATGCCGATAGTAGTGTGATTCATCTGTGGTTCTCAGATCTTTCTTTGATATTTTGGTGAGGCATCCTTCTTTGCAGTCTCTCAGCACTTTTTCCCCTCAAATCTTCTTGAACAGAATGTGGAGCATTTTCTTTGTCTGACTTCAGCGCTTCGGCTGGTTTGTTGTCAGGTCCTGCTGCTTTCCCACTCCTGATCTGTCTTATAGGCATGCTGTTTTCTTTGATCGTTGATGGACTGGCAGCTATAGGAAGGTGTGTGTATTCATGTTAATTTGATTATTCTATGGTTTCCTGTACCCAGGAATAATTTACGTAGTGTACCTGTTGTTCTGAAATTTACCACTGATTCATTGTCTACTGTGTTGGACAAACTGTTCAATAAGATTGGATACATTTCCAAAGTATTATCCATTAATATAAACTTTCTTGTTGTAGTTATTTAAAATATCGTATAGTTTCAGTTGTGAACTCAACATTCCGAATGAGGTAAAGGCAGTTGTTCCGTTAACAAAAAGGCTGACTGGTCTAGTTTGACAAGATAGAATTATGTGAATTGTGAGGATGGTCCACAGGTGAAGTCGAGGAGGCTCTAGGAAGCCCAGTAGGAGCTCAACATTTTCTATCCAATCAGCTTTTGGAAGAATATTCCAGAATTGCCACGTGGAGCTTCCCTATTGGACAATGCTGATAACTCCCTGTCTGCGGATTGGATAACTATAATGATGATTTTGTTTCTACTAAAAACTATAAATACCTGATAATTTTGTACCATATTCGACGCTGTCTGGAATAACGTTCCTTTTACTTGTCTTCTGTCTTTTGATTTGTGACTTGGAAGGGTTCCAGCGTTCGACTGCTCGAGTATTGTGCGATAGACTATGAATTGTAAGTTCGAGATACAACATGAATAATTACGAGTCATTATTTTTGAATCAACACTGCTTGTGATCACTGTCTGTAATACCCGATATTCCTAAAGAACGTCGCATGTATGGTGGGCTGAAACCTATCACTAATATACGGAATAATTTCATTCCCAGAAATAATCTTTGGTTTTGAAAGTAGATTTGTTTCCATGAACTGAAGTTGATTCAAATAATTTATATAAATTATTATTTTTTATAACCATTTATTCATAATTCCACAGTATCTTCTATCTTCTTCTACATTTATATGTCTTTTTCATTTACGAACTATTTAGAACCATAAATCATCTGTAATTCTATCTTTATAAATATCTATCAACTCATTTGCATCTTATTTGTGTGAATGAGGCTGTATGTATATTTATTAAAAAAAAACTAATTTTTTATTCAACTAGTCAACTAACATGTTTGAGTGCCTCTTTTTATTATTCAGAGTGTACCATTAACATTTATGATTCATTTAATTTAAAGACATGACCAATGGTACAAGGAGGCACCAAATATATATATACATTAGATAAAATCATTATTTTCCAATGTGTTGTTCAATAATTTCACATTCTTATGAAATATATTTTATCTTACTACAACTTTTTTTTCTCTATTTTCAGGGACACTGACTGGAATTCGTGTAACTCATCAAGTTGTTTATGCGTTATGTCGAGCTCAAAAAATTCAATGTGAATTTTATCCGACTCGTGAAGTTGTCCTGAGTCTTGATCCATATTCTGGTCTTGGATTCACTTTATGGACATTAACATCTGTCTACTGTGGACATCATTCAGTATTGATACCTCCAAGTGTTACAGAAATAGTACCTGATTTATGGCTTACTATATGTAGTCAAAGAAAAGGTGATTTTTTCTATCTCATTTACTGTATTTCGTTTACTTGTTATTACCAGTGTGTTATTGTTTAAAATGATTTTATAGACGTTATTTAACGTAAGGAAGGACAAATAAGCTTGTTGATACAACCAAATCACTTTGTATTATGTAATTCATCATAAAAGATTCATTCAGCAGTAGTCGTAAAATAAGGTTATTACATAGTTTTTACGACTTTTTCAATATTCAGTTAATTCTAGTGTTGACTATTATATTTTTAAGAAAATCACTAGCTCAGTCTTGAAAGTATTCAATTTCCAACCAATTGACTACACAATTGAGCTTCACAAGTACATTTACTTCGATTTCCACAATCGAATAATGTTACCGGTTCAAAACTTAATCCTCAGTCGTTCAGTTACTAAAGAACGTCATACGTTTTTTTATTGAATTTGTTAAACTGTTGATTGTTTCTCGTGTTTGCTCTCGTTTGTTTAACTGCCTATCTATCTATCTATCTATCTATTTTTCTAGTTCGTGATGCATTTTGTTCACATTACACTATGGAATTAGCTACACGTTACTTGACTAAACAAATGTCTATTTTAAAGGTTAGTTAAATAAGCCTGATTTTATTTATTTACCATATGTGTTCAATATTTACAAAAAAACAGACTTTTAAGCTAATCAGTTGGTTTATTAAATCAATTGATTAGATTATTGAAGTTTATGTGCATATTTTGTCTAATTTAATGATTATTGACTTGACATTAAGAATTTTTATGTATCTCGATAGAAACTTACTCATTTCCTTTTTATTTGACATGCAAATCTGTTGACTGATTTGTATATAAATGCATTTGGATGATTTCTACCATTTCATATTATGTTTTGATGACTGATATATGACTGATAAAATTTAGCCTAATGCTCAAATAGTAATTGATTGGACAGTGAGTAACCAACAAACTGATGTCTTTCTTTGAAATATGATATTTTATCATGTTTGTTTTGTGCCAATACTTTGTACATAAGCGTTTTATTTCATTATGACTAGCGATTTTGCTTTTCATTTGAAATCGTTCATGGGTTTAGGTCGTTAATTTGTATTCATGAGTAGCCATCACTCAGTCACATCATATCAATGCATATTGTCGATCAATGAGCATTCTCATTGATTATTAACGATGGAGGTTTTATCCATCAAACTGTTAAACCCCTTCTATTTTGAAAAAATCACATTTCCTTGATTACAATGTGATACAACTATTATGTTCTTTTTTTCGTTGATTCACTGATTTCTTTTTAGTTAGTCTGGTTAATACACAGCAGTATACATGTTTATTGTATTACTATATTGATGTATTGCTTTCTAACTTATTTTTAAAATGAAATAGTGGTTTATATAATTTGGGACCAACGAGTTTGCAATTCTGAGGTTAGAGGTGGAGTACTAGGTATAAGTATGGCAAATAGATTGACGAAGCAACAGATCTTTATTGATTAATATGGTTAGAACCATCGGTTATCTATACACTCAATGATGGTTGGTTTTAGTATAGGTTGGAAGAAGGCTATAGGTGACCAAACCGTACCAGTCCATTAAAACACTAACCGTACCATTCAAGTAAATATAGACTAGGTGGTTTGGATCTGCGTCAATGTCGTAACCACTGGTTAAAGGCTATGGATAACATGGCTCTGAATCGTTCACAATGGTTCAGGTATATTCACTTTTTGTCTTCATTTAGATTTAAAGTTTCTGAATTACTTTATGAAAATAATTTTATTCCACTAGTCCATATCATATTTTGGATGCCCAATCTTTTCTATCACTACCAATACTATTTTGACTTGTATTAGTCTGGAATTTGTTTTGACAATTTTATGCCACTGTGCTAATGGTTTATGGAAGGTAAACTGATATATATATATACACGTATGTCAGGTTCTACGTCGGGTATTGTCGACTAGGTTAGTTATGTATACGTTACTTGATACTTTTCTATTTTCTAGTAATCGGTAATTTTTGTTCTTTGGATTATCTACCAAGTATTGTAGGGTTTTTTTCATCATAAATTGATTCCAATAAAACAATCGTCAAATCGATCTTGAATTTTGGTAACCTGCATAACTCCATAAGCTATCGAAATTAACAGGTTATTGATTCAATGTTTATATATCTAAAATCATAGACAAGATTCTATTCGCTTGATCACACTAGTTGTTACAACTATTTTGAAGTGAACGCTTGTCATACATTAAATAGTTAAATTATTTCTCTTTCCCATGTATTTGATTTTTAGAGACTTTTCGCTCCTATTTATGTTGTATTCCTATTGACAGTTATAATCATCAATTTTTCCGGTTAGTAAGTATTGACCATTCATTATAGTTTAGCATCATTTTACCATCGATAGAAGTGAAGTAGTTACGGTAGTAGTCAGTCAATTGCAGGTCATGTCCACACCATCCGTACTTTGGTTCAAGCACGTGGATAGACTTCACCTTTGCAAATGTGTAGCCTAAATTGTAATTGATGATTGTGTGCACTTGCTTACTGAGTTGGTTGCTTTTAGTTATGTTAGCTACGGTGTCATACTAATTGTTGGTATTCACAAGGTACCAGGTCATTAATTTTAGGGATCTAAATTATCTTGTTAATATTCAGAGCTGGGTTTTTTCTAAAGATGAATTAAGTCAATCCAGGGAAGCAAAGTTTCTTCTCAATTATTTCACTCCTGGCCAACAATCAGTCTATTTTAAGAATATTTTGAAGAATGTCTCAAATTTAATTCGTTTTCATTTTAATTTTGTTTCTTTTTGATCTTTTTTCTAGCAACGTGAAATAAGTTTATCAAGTATTCGAAGTTTAGTTGTTGTAGCTGAAGAACGTCCTCGGATTCATTTGACTTCCATGTTCACTAAGTTGTTTTCTAGTCTGGGTTTAACAGGACGTGCTGTAAGCACTTCATTTGGTTGTCGAGTTAATTTAGCAATTTCTTTACAGGTATGTGTATATATAAATCTTTTAAATGTTTATTTATTTATTTAAACACATAAATATTGATACAAAGGGGCACCAGATATAAATGCGCCACACAAATTTCATTCGATTTCTGTGATACTGCCCAGGTACCCAGACTGAAGCAGGTGGTTTTCTTAGGGGGCCACATCCGGAGCCTTTGACACAAATATCTGATACACAAGGCAGTAGAGCATCGTGAGGAGATGCAGTCCCATGGTAGTTGGTTACCAACGATTGATTCATACACCATTTGTTCCTCCAGGATACTGGATTCCATGTGCACCATTGGTTTGGAATCAGAGTTTTCCAACTCTTCTAGGTGAACTTTCAGTGTCCTCCAACCCGGTTAAAGCGTCGGATATTCGCTTTTCGTCCTCTTAATTTTGTAAAAAACAGTAATGTCGCTATAAGGCAGTGAGTAAAACTTCTCTGGAAGTCGTTGTATGCACGTGTTCATGTGAAAGCATTTCAAGAGGGCGAGCTGACTCTCCCCACTCTCGGCCGTACCATGACATTCGGGGGAACTTTTAAATGTAGATTATAATTTTCCTTACATGAGGATAGCAGTTTCCTGTAGTCTAGATTCCCTTTACGTTATGATTGGTTGACTTTGGTTAATACTAGCAACTATATTCAACTACTGGTTGATTTTGAGTTTTCGAACCATAGACTCCATGTTTATCTGTGTACATTATTTTCGATACTACTATTATTTCTACTTATTCACCATTTATCTGTCTCGCTATGATAACGTGATATGGCGATTCGATCTGATGCACAGTTTTACGAAGTTCTACTTTTGTATTAACTAATTGATTCATGTGATCGAATCTGTTTCCTTTCGTGGTATGAATTAGAATGTCGTTGTAATAACGTAGTGGATGCTTTCCACAACATTGTAAGTAGCGTATAGCGGAACGTGACGTCAAAGTTGCTACAATTTTCAGACAGGGTGAAGAGTTTCAGTGTATCGAAAACACGAGATTAGCATAAAACTTGGAAAACCAGACAAAAGCGCCATTCAGATTGCAGTACACACCGAAAGCTGCAAATGGAAGATTGAAGGCTATGTACGATGTATTACATAAATACTTACAACAAATACATTTCTCTTGCCTATTATCGTGTTTTGCAATAGTAACTGCTTTTTTCTTACCTGTTTGTGAATGGCTTTTTCAACAACCGATTTACAGTTTATGCAATGTATTTCATTATACCACATGTAACTAACTAATTGGTTATACTTTCAAGTGTACTGAATTTACTAAACAATAATCTACAACATTGATTTATTCTATTATTATTATTATTATTACTATTACTATTACTATTACTATTATTATTATTATTATTATTGTTATTATTATTATTATTATTATTATTATTATTATTATTATTATTATTATTATTAGACTATAAATCAAGCGACAATGAGACACCCGTTTAAAATTACCGTTAAAAGAAAAAAAAATCCGTCTAATTAACCGATTTATTTTAAATGTCTATTTCATTATTTATAAGCATAATAATCATATAAAATAAATTTTTGTAACGATAGTTACAATAAGAATATCAATAATATTTGAATGAATTCTTTTAAGAGTATAATTTAATTGTACAACATCGTATGATATCTATGTATACATATATATAGTTCGTTTGACTTACCCGACTTTTTCATTGAACAGTTTCTAGGTGCTAGACAGTTGATTGAATTTCATGTATTCTAACTTTACAATCTCAGTAGATAGAAAAGAAAAAATGGAATATTTTGTCATAAGTAGATAGATTGTATTTGTTATATCTTGTGGCCGAGTAGATGCCCAGTTGATGTATGATGTGATAAGACCGCCAATCAGAAAAAACCAATAACAACCAACAGACTGACCACATCGTACCAATAAAATAGAAAATACAAGAGTTAGCTAAATGTGGCTGTGAATATGGGGAACAGTAATTAATAAACTGGGTAGAACTCAGGAATGGTAAATCGTACAATAATAGTCCAAGGGTCAAAATAAAGCTCACAATGAAAGGAACATGAATATTACTAGTTTAATTATTTAGCAAATATACGATAAAAATTATATGCATAACATGGGTCCATAAATGGATCCCAAAGTTATCATTCACTATTGTTATCGGGATATAACAGTATTTGATAAGGTAATTAGTGGTGACTACTTGGTTATTAGATTTCAGATGTATATATTTTATTGTATTTATCATAAACTCAAAAGGTTCACTATTAGTCATAGTAACTACTTTCATGGTTCTGTCAAACACACACTAGTCTTTTCTCAGACGTGTTTAGCAAATAATGTCTAATCTAACATAATTTATTATGGGACCATGTTGTCACACCAGAATACAATGAAATACTCTTTTCAAATAGACTAAGTTCGATATATATATATATATATATATATATATATCAAATTTGCTCTTATTTATCGATGTGTTTTTTTGCACTCACTATTCAAACTAGGGTGCTAGTTCACCGGAAAGCACAACTGTTTATGTAGATCGTGTCAGCTTACGAAATGATCGTGTTAAATTATTAGAAAAAGGATCACCACATAGTCTGTGTCTTATGGAATCTGGAAAAGTAAGTGTATAATCTTTTTAACTTCATCAACTTGGAAATGAGGAAATGTCTGTCGGTGTTATTTTATGGTCCTCGTACTACATTGTCTGTAGTTTGAAGCTAGGTATTATAGATGATTAGATATGTTTAATTAGTACTTATTATTAAACCTTAAGATTTCGGGTTATGTTAACTGTTGGAAAATATGAAACTATGACGTGAAATATGTAAAAATTACTTCCTCTTATCAGTATTCTTTACCTGATGTTAGAAAATGTATCTTCAAGGTGGATGAATCTCTACGAACATCTATTCAAATCTCCTGACTCCTTTTCTTAACTATAAAGATCTGAAAGTTCGTGTAGAAGGGTTTTGTATAGCTATGGCTCAGTAGTCAAAGGGTTTACTTTTCGTCCACTAAGTCTCAGGTCCGAATCCCGCTCCAGATACTAGCCCTCAGACGTTTATTGTGGTCGAAAGTTAAGTATACATTTACGTATCTGATAAATGTATTAAATTAATTGATTAAATGACTTTTCATCGTTTACAGTATACCAAAAGTTCAAATACCTGAATCACATAATCGTGCCTCTTTTTCCCCAGATATTTTTATATAGCTTTTCTCTATTTTCGAATAATAAAACCTGATATAAACTGTTCCTATTTCATTTTTGAATCATTTAATTTCAGCTATTACCTGGTGTACATGTAGTAATAGCTAATCCTGATACACTAGGTCAGTGTGCTGATTCGCAACTAGGCGAAATATGGGTATCATCTCCCCACAATTCTACTGAACTATTAGGGCCATTCGATAGTGCTAGTTTAAATCGTCCTACTGGTGTTGCTTCACAACCTGTACCAGGAATAAATGCTGGTGATTCTTTACATGCTCGTTTAGTTACTGGTGATACTGAAAGAGTTTATGCACGTACTGGATTTTTGGGTTTTGTTCGACGAACTGAATTAACTCAATCTGATGGAGGTAATACGTCACCTTAATTTTTGTTATATATTTTTACTTGATAGTACTTCTTATTTTCTGATATTGAATTTTTATGGAAGCCCTATTTTGAACTGAAGTAGTTATCAACACTTTTGACTGTATTTCTGACCTATTGATAAGTTTGAACTCCGACCAACAAATACTTATCTCAAAAATTTCATTCTGCTTTGGCTCATATCGTTTGTTCAGCTTTATGTTTCTAATATTTCGTCTTGGTTGTAGTTTAATTTGACAATACAGTGGCGCAGGTGTATACACTCTTTATCTTCCTCTAAACCTTGAGATTAAAATTGCTTCATATCTGTCTTTCTTCCTGTACTATATCCTTATATACAAGCTATGTTTTATATATTACCACCACTTAATTAACTACTATGAATTCGGTGTTCATCTTGTTGTGCTAATGAGGTATGGCAACTTGGACCGATGCATATATGTGCCTGGTCGTACGTTGTAGCTGACTGACTGACTTAATTTGACAATATCAATAAAACAAACGAATACTTACACTGCTTAAAAGCGAGTGAATAAACCTTGGGCCATATAGATCGAAATTTGAAACAAACGTTATAGGTTATAGTTGCATGTTTTAGAATATAAATAACTATTTTACATTCATAGTCTAATTTCAAGATTATTGGAAGAAAGCATGAATGATATTTCTGACATAAGTTATTAAATGCCAAATCATTTACTTTTAACTATGATCTGTGAAGTGTTGATTTTTCGAGCTAACATTCAACAATTAGTCTCAGCCAATCTTTTAATAACCATTATAACTAGATGATGAAATGAATAATTTTGTGTTCAACTAATGAAGTTCACCGTTATTATTAATTTCAATGCTCAGTACACTCTGCAGTCTATAAGTATCTACCAATAAATACTTTTTAAAAAAAAATTTGTATAGTAGTATATCTTAATTTATAGTAAAAGCTGATTGTCGTAAATGGAAGTCAATACAAGTATGAACTTGAACGTCTGACATTAACTAATTTTTAGAGATAAAGTTTGTATCATTGTCATCATAGCTGTACAGAAAACATGAATACAGTTGAAATGATTATGGTAAAACTCTACATTTTAATTCGAAAACATTAGTGGAAGTTAATTAACCTTTAAGATATATATATATATATATATATATATATCCGACGATTTGTTTTTTCAACTGTACGGTCAATCTACATCAACTACATACTTGTTTGCTTACATTTTATTTCATAACAGAACTACATGATGCCATATTTGTAGTAGGCAGTTTAGAGGAAACTATTTTACTACGTGGAATGCGCTTTCATCCAGTCGATATTGAGAATACTGTGATGCGTTCACACAAGAAAATATGTGAATGGTAAGTTGTTTTCACTTATTCTACATCAATAAGTTTTCTGTAATGCCAGCATTTTCTCTTATTTGAAAGGTTTCTACTTCGTACAGTTAATTACTACTAGTGATCTTAATTTTGCTTAATCCATATCAAACTATGTAAATTAAGTCAGTCAGTCAGTCAGTCAGCTACAACGTAGGACCAGGCACATTTATGCATCGGTCCAAGTTGCCATACCTCTTTAGCACAACAAGATGGACACCGGATTCATAAGTTGACGATCACTAATCCCTATGTTTTGTTGTAACTCATATTACTTTGTCTGATGCGTAAATATTACTCATCCGTTCAATTTCACCATATCACAATCATGTTTGGTAAGGGATTCTCCCTCTCTAAATGTAAAATTTTGTCTCAGAATTGGCTGGCGTCACCGCCTGGAATAATGACGGAGTGAAGTAGTCGAACACATCGATTGCTTCACTTACCCCAGGAGTCTCGTCCATACTGACGGTCTAGTATCTGACGAAATCTCAGCACGGATTTTGAGACCAGTGGGTAAGCAATGCCTAGGTTAGAAATAGGATACTACCATTGAAAACCTTGAAGCATTGGACGGCAGCTTGCACGCAAGTTCGTAGGGCCTGGGTTCGGTATCGTGGATGCCCACTGTTGAGAAGTCCCATATTAAGATGAAACGGCCCTCCAGTGCTTTCAAGTTTTCAATGGTGGTCTAGCTTAGAATAACTCGTGAATTCAATTGTTAAAATACTACAATCTCTATGAATCCCCATACTGATAACAATTAATAGTTAGCTTTACGTATATTTGCTTGTTTAGATACCCTCTTCGCACTAATTTAGCTATCTTTGTGTTTGTGCACAGACAAAGTGATCTTGTGTTTAAATGTATCATCTTCGTACTTGAGATTATCTTATCTTGTATTATTCACCTCATTATTGTATCGTCTATACAAAATTAAATAGTTAACGTATTCTGTAGGATTATTCACTAAATTTTTACTTATTTTCGTTTGATTGTTTTTAAAGAAAAAATTAGAACAAATGTTTCAATTCCTTTTTTCTAGTGCTGTATTTAGTTGGTCGAATTTATTAGTTGTAGTCGCTGAACTAGCTGGTGAAGAAAATGAAGCAATGGATCTTGTTCATCCAATTACAGCACATGTATTAACTGAACATCAAATGATTGTTGGTGTTGTTGTAATAGTAGATCCTAGAACAGTACCAATTAATCCATCTGGTGAAAAACAACGAATTCTATTAAGAGATAGTTTTGTTAATGACAAATTGGATCCAATCTATGTTTCATATAATATGTAAATTATAAAATCAAACATTGTTTCTTCATTCATAACTTATGTTTATGTTTGTGTGTTTATTTTCTTTCTATATGGCAATATTCATCGCTTCTGATCAATTTTCTTTCTTGTTGGGGTTTAAAGTTAGGGTCTACTTTTTATTGTTTGTTACCTTCAGTTCCAATGTTATTCTTTCATGTAATAATCCTTTTGATAATTTCTATATATATCAATAACAACATACCATGCCATTTATTACTCTTTCTCGTTTACCATTTATTCGACAATTAATTAGGATTTAATAACAATAATTAATATTATTATTATTCATAATAAATGAAGTGATCCTGTTTCGCAACAACACTTGTTCCCCTGACTGTTCCGTTGATGCAATTTTAGTATTATTTGTTAATTTATTTCAGTTTTGTTACCTATTTCAGTTTTTTTTAATTGGTTACTGCTGCTTTAAGTAGTAGATCAGTCTACTAATCATCATTGTCTACACTTATTTAATTCATGCATAAACTGATATGCATATTTGTAAAACAAGGGTGTTTCACTACTCTTTTTTTGATTATTTTGTTTTCATTGTTAATTTCATTTAGCTGTTCTTTCTTTGGAATGTATACTATTTTTAAAAAAATCAACTAAAGCATTTTCCCTATGTGTAAAATCAAAGCAATTAGGTTGTTGACCTGCTCCCTGCTTTTTTCTGTCTCTTGATTATTATTCTGTCAATTTAATACATATTATTATTATTTCTTGAATTGATTTTATTTATTTCTGTAACCGGTGCTTCTGGTTTTTCTCCCCCCTTTTTTTATCTCTCTCTCGTATCATCTTTTAATTGAATACATCTTCAACTTGACTATTTAAAAGCATCATATCCCACCGTGTGACTTCATATTATGCATACGTCTAACTATGGGCATCCAATCACCCGTGATCTGATTATATGCACAATAGTGATATAACTGGTATATATATATATATGTCTTGGTTAGATAATACTTTTTTTATTTTCTTTCCCTTTTTAGAATTTATCTTGGCATCACTTTGTGTGTTTGTGTGAATAGGTAAGTAGTTCTTTCTTCTTTTTAATCCTTTTGATTCCTATTTTCTTAATTTTCTGTACTGCTGCGTTTTACCCCATCATATTATCTATCTTTCATTACCAATTCAAACAATCCAAACTATTTCACTATAATCGAATAATAAATAATATTTGCAATACTTAATTTCTTTCTTTCTTTCATTCTTCTTTTTTTAGTCCTTTCGTTTGTTCCTATTGTCATTGTGTTTTTCAGTTATTCTTCTTCCTTTTTTTTAAAACTTGGTATACTTAAAGATGATTTAGCTAAAATATTTTCTTTTGTATAATCGATGTAAAACATATGGATTAGATGAAAATTGTCATTTACGCAATATACACAGTGTAATAGTCGAATTGTTTACTTAATTGACAGAATAACTGATTCCTTTTTTCATTTAAAGATAGACAAATACATATATAAAATCAATATATGTGAATTGTTTTCATCTGGTTTCTCTTGTTTCTTTTTCTACATTTACTACATGTATAAGATGTTTTACAAATTCATTATTCCTGTTGATCTTAAAGGAAGTAATAATGGTTTTGTTGTTTAGTGGTATTTACTCTAGTTATACTTTAGAAATGATTTGATTACGTTAGAGTTTATGCTCATAATCAAATGAATTATTATCATTGCATAATCGCAGTCTTCTGTTTGACCACATCATTAAATCGTCTATGTATCTGAGTAATTGTATCTCTCATTATGCTGCTTTACAATTGCATAATTGAATCTTTGTTGAACAGTCATGTTGGAGTTACATACGTATGCTGATTTTGTGTTATCGATGAGCCAGAAGTGAAAGTTCACTTTTTGTTTGTATCCTTAAATTGTTCATCTTTAAGTAAACTGTTTGACATTCAAAGTAAACTACTTCAGTCAGAAAGTGATAAGTTTATCTGCGTTTATCGTACTAGACTTAAAATAAAACGGATGATATTAATTGATAGTTTTAATTCGCTAATTTCAAATCAGTCACAAGCATTATAGGCTTGGATGGACAGTGGCTAGCAGTGAAATCCAGAACGCACGTTTCTTCCTAATATAGAGGGGTTTAGGCAATAATCAATGGAACCTGGAAGTTGACAAGAAGGGTTATGTAATAATCATGGTGAAGTTGAAGAGTTTACATAGGCTTTAAGGTCTAGATGAGTGAAAACACTGATAAATATAAAGTTAGTTTTAATATCTATCAAATAAGAATAGGTTTAGGAATGATTAAATAACAATTTCATAGTTACATGTAGCTATGATCGAAAATATGGATTTACCTTACTTACTTAAGACTGTTACCACTCGTCGAGGAGCATAGGCCGCTCACCAGCATTCTCCATCCAACTCTGTCCTGAGCCTTCATTTCCAGTTGCTATTCAGCCTTTTCATATCGGCTTCTATTTCCCGGCGTAGTGAGTTCTTTGGCCTTCCTCTTTTCCGCTTCCCTTCCGGATTCCAAGTTAGGGATTGAGTCGTGATGCATATTGGTGATTTCCTCAATGTATGTCCGATCCACTTCCAACGTCTTTTCCTAATTTCCTCTTCAGCTGGAAGCTGATTTGTCCTCTCCCATAAAACGCTGTTGCTGATAGTATCCGGCCAGTGGATGTTGAGTATTTTGCGTAGACAACTGTTTATAAATACTTGTACCTTCCTGATGATGGTCGTAGTAGTTCTCCACGTTTCAGCTCCATACAGTAGGACTGTCTTGACGTTCGTATTGAAGATTCTCACTTTGATATTAGTTGAGAGTTGTTTTGAGTTCCATATGTTCTTCAATTGTAGAAATGTTGCCCTTGCTTTGCCAATCCTCGCCTTTACATCTGCATCCGATCCTCCTTGCTTATCAACGATGCTCCCCAGGTACTTGAATGTTTCCACCTCTTCCAGAGTTTCGCCGTCAAGTGTGATTGGGTTGGTGTTCTCCGTGTTGCATTTGAGAATCTTGCTTTTTCCTTTGTGAATGTTTAGACCTATCGATGCGGAGGCTGCTGCTACATTTGCTGTCTTAATCTGCATTTGGTCGTGTGTATGAGAGAGGAGGGCTAGGTCATCTGCGAAGTCCAAATCATCTAATTGATTCTGAGAAGTCCATTGTATTCCGTATTTCCCTTCAGATGTCGAATTCTTCATAATCCAGTCAATCACTAGAAGGAAGAGGAATGGGGAGAGTAGACAGCCTTGTCTGACTCCGGTCCTTACTGGAAATGCATCTGTCAGCTGTCCTCCATGCACCACTTTGGACTGTAATCCATCGTATGAGTTTTGGATAATGTTGACAATCTTTTCAGAAACTCCATAGTGTCGAAGAAGTTTCCATAATGTTCTCCTGTCAAACGCCTTTGTCATAGTCAATGAAGTTGATGTATGGTCAATGTCTGACTTCAGTGCTTCTGCTGGTATATTGTCAGGTCCTGCCGCCTTCCCACTTTTGATTTGTCTGATGGCCATCTTGACTTCTTCGATCGTTGGTGGAGTGACATCTATTGGAAGGTCAGTGTGTGCTGCTTCGATGTTCGGTGGATTCAATGGGCTGGTCTATTCAGCAGTTCCTCGAAGTATTCAGCTCATCTTTTCCTCTGCCCTTCAATATCTGTGATTGTCTTTCCTTCTTTGTCCTTGACTGGTCTCTCTGGTTTGCTATATCTCCCTGCCAATTTCTTCGTTGTATCATATTGTTGTTTCATATTCCCTTCTCTTGCAGCTTTTTCCGCCGTCGTTGCTAGTTCTCCCATATATTTCTGTTTGTCGGCTTTAATGCTTTTCTTCACTTCCCTGTTTGCTTCTGCGTAGTCTGCTTGTGCTTCGACTTTCTCTGCTCGTGTTCGGCTGTTGTTAATTGCTAGTTTCTTGTTCTTCCTTCATTGAATTTTGTCCAGGGTTCCCATAGAAATCCATTCCTTGTGATGATGCTTCTTAGGACCAAGAACCTCCTGACACGTTGAAGTTAGTGCTTCTTTTATCCCTTTCCATTTGTCCTCCATAATAGTTTCTTGTTCATTCAGTCGATCCTGTAGAACCTGGAACCTGTTGTTGAGAGTTATCTTGAATTCATGGAGCTTGTCGGTATCTCGAAGAAAGGCTGTATTGGACCTTTGTAGTACTTTTTGTCCAGTTGTCCAGTGTTTCTTTAGCTTCAGTCTCATCTTGGCCACAACCAGGTGGTGATCTGAAGCTATGTCAGCTCCTCTCCGGGTTCTCACATCTTCCATTGATCTTCGGAATTTTTTGTTGATACAGATGTGATCTATCTGGTTCTGTGTGGTGTGGTCCGGTGAGATCCATGTAGCTTTGTGTATGCGCTTGTGTGGGAATATTGTGCCGCCTATAACCAATTTGTTGAAAGCACATAGGTTTGCAAATCTCTCACCATTTTCATTTCTCTCTCCTAGTCCATGTCGTCCAATTACATCTTCATATCCTGTGTTATCCACTCCAACTTTAGCATTTAGGTCTCCCATCAGGATGGTGAGATCCTTTCCTGAGCACTTAGCTATGATTGATTGCAGCCTGAACTGATGTTTATCATCGTCGTTGCTATCATTGGTGGGTGCATAACATTGGATAACGTTCATTGTGATCCCTTGCTTCTTTGTCCTGAATGATGCTTTGATTATCCTGGGTCCATGAGATTCCCATCCCACAAGTGCATTTCGTGCTTCTTTGGACAGCATTAGAGCAACTCCCTGAGTGTGTGGGGCGTTTTCCACTTCGTGACCGGAGTAAAGCAGCATCTCTCCTGTACCTAGCCTTTGTTGTCCAGATTGTGTCCAATGGGTTTCGCTGATTCAGAGTACTGCCAAGTTGTATCTTCTCATTTCCATTGCTATTTGACTGGTTTTTCCTGTCTCCCACATTGTCCGGACGTTCCATGTACCTATGAAGAGTGTTGCTCTGGTTGTTAGAAGGTGCATCGGTCTAGTGACTTCCGAAGAATTTCGGCCTTCATCCAGAGACGTCATAAATATTCCTTCAACTCGGAGGGCAGAGTTTAAATGGTTTGAATTATTTTTTCTGGTTATCGTTTTTTTAGCGAGTTAGCTTTTCTACGGGATGGGGTCGCTAACCCCATGCTTAACCCTCCTCCTTTGTGTGGGCTTGGGACCGGTAGTAACTCTAGAAGAGCTACAGGCGGAGTTATGGATTTACCTAGCCAAAGATAAATTAACAATTGTTTTTTTCTGGACAAATAAATTTTATATGAGTTTCTGAATTGCTTCTTCCATATTGAAATGAAGGGAAGCCGGATTACTTACTTACGCCTGTTACCTCTCGTGGAGGAGCATATGCCGCCCACCAGTAGTTTCCATCTAATCTTTTCCTGGGCAATCCTTTCCAGTTAACATTCATCCTTTTCATATCTGCTTCCCGGCCTAATGTGTTCTTTGGCCTTCCTCTTTTGCGCTTTCCTTCCGGATTTGAAGTTGGGGATTGCCTCGTGATGGATATTGGTGATTCCCTTAATGTATGTCCTATCCACATCCAACGTCTTTTCCTAATTTCCTCAACTACTGTCAATTTATATCTCCTCATTTCCAATGCTATTTAACTGCTCTTCCCGGTCTCCCACATTGTTCGGACATTCCATGTACCTATGGAAATTGTTGCTCTGGTTGTTAGAAGGGGCATCGGACTTATGAATTCCGAAGGATCTCGGCTTTCATCCTAAGGCATCATAATTCTTCCTTGAACTCGGAGGGCAGAGTTTAAATGGTCTGAATTATATTTTTCCTGGTTAGCGTGTTAGTTTTCGAAGGGATGGGATCGCTAACCTCATGCCCAACCCTCCTCCTTTGTGTGGACTTGGAACCGGCAGTAACTCTAGAAGAGCTATAGGCGGAGTTGAAGCCGGGTTGCTTTGTTGATAATTTTGAAGGATTGGTAAACGTTAATAATATGCCTGCTGTCAACTTAGTTTCCAGCTAACACAGTGTTTAAAACTACTGCACCTTTTAGTCTCGAATTCTTTTAAACATCTAAACATATTACAATTTTTGTTCTATCTATGTCCTAAAATGAATGAAGGTTTCTCTATTTACTACATTCAGATAGTATTTATATAAAGTCAAATAACATGTGTTTAAATAAATCAATGAAGTTAAACCGGGATGTAAGTTTTATGTGTTTTAATGAACTGATGGCGTGTTACGTAACTTCTATATAGTACTTACAATTCGATATAAGTCGTGTAGCTTTTTTGTACCTATTGACTACATGTTACGTATTCAAACAACGACTTATTTTATAAAGTATAGAGTAGATCGCTTGTATAGAGAAGTGAAAATAGATTATATTTGATATGGCTGAACTACATTAGCGATGGCTTCTCACTAGAACTCTGAGAATCACCTGTGTAGCAGTTACTCACCGTAGATCATATTTGTTCGGAGCATAGTTTGTGTCAATGAAGATAATTTTTTTGAAATGTTCATCGCCTGTTGTATATTTTCATACTGAGTTCTGTGAGATAGAAATGAGCTAATAGATTAACGGTTCGGTTAAGCTCGTTAATTTAAGAATTTGTATCCTAAAACGAAAACTAATTCATCTGTGTTCGATATTGTCTTTCAACAGATTATCCACTAATCGGTAACATAAGCTACTGTGATTTTCATCTATCTAGGTCATTCAATAAATAACATTGTCCAATTAGTACGTCACTCATAAGTATCACAGGCAACTTATTATTTATATAAACGTAAACAAATATTTTATGTCCAATTATTAATCGAATATTTTATTAGCTTTTTTTGAATTTCAAAAAAGAATATCTATTCAGAAAGAAGTAAAGAATTTCTACTCCCATCCCATGCAGACACATACATATAATAATAATAATGGTAGGTAACCATAGTTTCAGTCGGTTTGACCTTCGAATAACATCGGGAAATTTTCGTAAATAACAGATATAGTATAAATTGAATTGTTGATTCGAATTTAACTAGCTACGTTTATATGAAAGTATTGTACTATATTTGATTAATGCTTAACTCTTCACAGCCATACATTCATTTCATCTTCCATGAGGAATAGCTTACATTTTGATTTAGGATTCTTACATATCGGTGATTTTAGTGATGTTACAATTTTTGTTTAGTTTTTTACATGAACAAGCAAACGTATTTCATTTGCGAACATGATTAGATTGTTGTTTTACTTACATTTAATAGTACATGTCTATCCAAACCATACACACACTTATAATAATAATAGCTATGATGTAACCGATCAACAAGTAAATCACACTACTACTATTGATAATGATGACTTATTATGGTTACAATGGAAACATTTACATCAGAAGAATTATTCTACTTATAAGGAGTATAATGAACATCGTAAAAATTGGTTATATAATTTACATTCTATTAAACAACATAATCTAATGCATGATAAAGGTTTAAAATTATATACAATAGGATTAAATCAGTTCTCTGATTTAAATTGGAGTCATATAAGTACAATATATTTAACTAATTTAAGTCAATATTTTTTAAATAGACATAAAAAACAAAGTCAAATACTATTGAAACAATCATTAAATGAAACAAGATTAAAGGAAATACCAGATTCATGGGATTGGAGAAAAGTAGGTGTTGTAAGTAAAGTTAAAGTACAGGTAAGATTTCTTTTACGTGGATTTTTACTGAATTGATCATTGAATTTATGTTAAATTTATAATCCTTAAATTACTAATAACACTATGAAAGTCATGACCACTGGAGTACAATCCATGTCGAGTATGAGAAAGTTATCCACCTCAGACAATGGATGAAGGGTTGTGCGAAATCATATATCGACTGAAACTAGATGCTAACACCGTTGGATGCCGGTCTAGAAGTTAAGGGTCGGCGCGCAAGACCTAGGGTCCTGGGTGCGGAATCGTGTTAAAATACTACAATCTCTATAAATCCCCATATTCATGATAAATAATTACATTGATGTTCCATCCTGTTACGTAACAAGAATGTTCATCAAACAGAATTTAGTTAACAAAGAATTCTAAAAAGATGGGAGTAATTTTAAAATTGGGATCAAATTTTACATTGGAAAAAAAAGGTAATGATGGCAATTGTAAGGATTCTGAAAATGTGGAAATAAATTTTTCTTCAAACTGACATCATTTGGAGAACTGTTAAACATACTTTTTACATTTCAGTTGATTGTATTAAAACACCTATTTTATTATTAATATATATATTCTTATTATATCCCAATGAGTAGAAAACATTGTATTTCCGACGTTTCGTAACCTAATGTAAGCCACTTCTTCAGAGTAGATGCATTACCGAAATTAAATAAGCCCCACTATTTCTTATTACAAACGCATGCGCTTTTCATACCTGCATTTTTATACACAAATTAATACAGTGATAGGTAAAACTAATTCACCTTGACCAAGAATAACTTGACATTGACGTATTCAGACCTATTATGATTTTGATTGCATCGAAGATATTCTTCATTGTTTCGTTTGTACTATTTAAACTTACGTTAATTTAATTCGATTATTTATTTACTCTAAAGAAGTGGCTTACATGGAGTTATGAAATGTCAGAAATATAACTTTCCTGTCGGTCAGTCAGCTACAACGTAGGACCAGGCACACATATGCATCGGTCCAAGTTGCCATACCTCGTTAGCACAGCGAGATGAACACCGGATTCATAGAAATAGTTAATTTAGTGGTGGTATTATATAAAAGATAAGTTGTATATAAGGATATAGTATAGGAAGGAAAACGTTATGAAGCAATTTTAATCTCAAGGTTTAAGGGAAGATAAAGAGTGTATACACCTACGCCATTGTGATCGATTCTGAGTCATGTCACCTAGAGTCTCCAACCATTGGTTACGATAGTCTGCATCTGCCAACATGGCTCAGACTAGAAGTTAGTGACTTCAAGCACTGATGCCACGTTTTGGTTTGGCTGCCCCTAACTCTCTTCTGTAATTTTGTATTAAAACACATTGGTTGTCCCCACCTGTGTTCTTGTTCACTACAATAAGTATATGTATTTCTTTTTAAAGAATCTATATCTGATTTATAAAAAGTACAATTTATAGTTCACTAGACACGTTTACTCATAGCTTTTAAACAAACTAATTAACAATTAATAAGACAAACCTGTTGTTGATGCAGCAAAATCCAAATAAGCAATTGGTTGATCTAGACAAGGTGTTTGAATAGTGAAATTCGATTTCCGTCTATTGTATTCGTCAGAGTCAAGTATTATTGGCCAATGATTAAAAGGAATACGATTAGTAGCCTCCTAAAAATTTAAGAAAAACAATTTTCAGAAACCAAGTTAATTTTTGAAACTTCTATTATAAAACACTTTTATGAGTGTGGTTTAAATGAACAGAAATTTTCCCTCAAATTCACTTAGAAATCACTTTCCAGATGAGCAACATTATATAAAAGATAAGTTGTATATAAGGATATAGTATAGGAAGGAAAACGTTATGAAGCAATTTTAATCTCAAGGTTTAAGGGAAGATAAAGAGTGTATACACCTACGCCATTGTGATCGATTCTGAGCCATGTCACCTAGAGTCTCCAACCATTGGTTACGATAGTCACGCGGACCCCAACCAAGTAGTCTGCATCTGCCAACATGGCTCAGGCTAGAAGTTAGTGACTTCAAACACTGATGCCATGTTTTGGTAAAAGTTGCTAGCGCCTCCGGGTGGGCTCGAACCACCAACCTTTCGGTTAACAGCCAAACGCGCTAACCGGTTGCGCCATAACTTTCCTACTCATTGAGATATAGATCAGAAGGGGTATTGTGGAGATTTTAGTAATTTCATATAGTTGAAATCATGAGTCATTTGAAGCTAGACCACAATGGAAAACCTGGAAGCACTTGACGACCGTTTCGTCATATTGTGGGACTCCCCAGCAGTGCGCATACACGATGCCGCCTTGAGAGATTGGAACCCAGGACCTACCAGTCTCGCGCCAGAGCACTTAACCGATAGACCACTGAGTGGGCCATCATCCAACGGTGCTAATATCTAACTTGAACCAATCCACAAAATTTCCTGGAGTTCTAGTGAGAAGCAGTAACCAGTGGAGTTCAACCAGGTCTGTTGGGAGATATCAACTCACTGAAGACAATTGATGAATGGTTGCTTAATTTCGTGGATTGGTTGAAGTTAAACAATAACACCGTTGGATGCCGGCCCGCTCAGTGGTCTATCGGTTAAGTGCTCTGGCTCGAGACTGATAGGTTCTATGTTCGAATCTCGCAAGGCGGGATCGTGTATGCGCACTGCTGAGGAGTCTAGTAATAGAGCGAAATGATCGTCCAATGCTTCCAGGTTTTCCATGATGGTCTAGCTTCAATTGACTCATGATTTCAACTATGAAATCATTGGGATATCACAAATAGTATATTTATTATTTATCTTTCTACCCAATACTCAATTCATTTGAAACTATCAAATACAATCTTGGTATCGATACCAACAATTTTCTTATTAGTTAGCGTACAATATAACATTATCTCATTTAAGTCATAGTTTCTGATTATTAATATATTTAAACTCACGTGAAAATCCTGTTTGAAGAGATTAGTACATAAAGAGATAAAAGATAGTGGAAATATCTAAAAGTGTTAGCTAGGTTTCAGATTTATATACATATAGGTATTACATTATTAATGCTTATTTTCTCTTCATAATTATAAATATATCAGCATATTTATGATGAATGGGACTTTTTGTTATTATGTTCAGGGTGAATGTGGTGCTTGTTGGGCGTTTTCAGCTGCTGGAGCATTAGAAGGACAGTTAAAAAATAAGAATGGTAGTTTTGTTGAATTATCATCACAACAATTGATTGATTGTAGTCATTCTTTTGGTAATCACGGCTGTTTAGGCGGTGATATGAATAATGCATTTCGATATGTTGAAAAAGATGGAATACAATCAGAGGAAAGTTATCCTTATTTAACAAAAGTGAGTTTTGCTTTTTCTCTCAGTTCATTCATGTTTTGATATATATCAAATAAAGTAAGTTCACATAACAGTTTGAAAAGAAAAAAAACGTCATTTTTATCACCAACAAATGGTTTATTTATCATCTGGCTAATCAGTAGACAAGGTTAGTCAATATCACTAGTTATAGTTTTGAAAAGAGAATTGAATTCTTAATGATGCTACTGTAAATGAACTTTAGTAGTGTAAAAATGTAACTTCAACGCTAAACTCCATCAAAATCATCCACTTGAGCTACAGATTTTCTCCACTATCTCAAAACTATGTTAACTATTCAATGATTATATATCAAATGTTGTGAGACATTACAACGAATTGAAATTACTTCATTCGTTAGATTTTGTCAATTTCATTAAAGAATAGAGTTTTAGATTATAGGGAAAATAGCTCGTTTGGCCAGTTTGAAAAAATTAAATACTGCTTATCTTCGACTGAATTTTTGCATCATCACCACAGAGACTTTATATCGTATGATAATATTCTGTGAAAGACAATATAAATAGCTGAACTTCAAATTTGTTTTATATTTTTAGAGATTATAAATTCAAATATACTACTTATTTCTTGTTTACTTCACAAAAAAATGTAATTTGATCCAACTCCAATAGAATTTATTATCTGGTTAGCGTTTTTTTAGCGAGTTAGTTTTCTACGGGATGCGGTCGCTAACCCCATCCCCAGCCCTCTTCCTGTGTGTTGACTTGGGACCGGCAGTAGCCGCCGGAGGGGCTACAGGCGAAGTCAATAGAAATTTTACTGAACTAGAAAGCTGAGACATTAGTATTCGGACTTTTATTTTCAAGTTCATCTACTGCATTGACTACCTATATTTATTGTTATTATTTATCGAAGATTACTGTTCTATTCAGTTAATGTCATTTACAATAAGTATTTCCCTGAGTTCATAATTAGATTGTAATTTGAATGTTTATATGTACTATAGTAATAGATTATCTGAATTAAATTTACATTTTATTAACGAATAGTACCTCAACATTTCGAAAACTTATCAGTTATTCTATAGTTTCTACCTATATGTACGTATTGAAGACGAATACAACAATCAATATACATTGTTTCCCTTGAAATGATCATTGATGTTCTCTGATATCTATATAGAATTTTCAGCACAAAGTATTTCAACAAGTTTCCTTTTTATCAGAAGGGGTTTTCTGTGGAGAATTAATATTTTCATAGTTGGAAGCGTGAGTCAGTTGAAGCTAGACCATCATGGAAAACCTGGAAACACTGGACGATCGCTTCGTCCTATTGTGGGACTCCTCAGCAGTGCGCATCCACGATCCCACCTTGCGATATTCGAACCTAGGACCTACCAGTCTCGCGCCAGAGTACTTAACCGATAGACCATTAAGCTGGCATCCGATAGTGTTTATGTCTAACTCCAACCAATCCACGAAGTTCAGCAACCATTCATCAATTGTCTTCAGTGCTCTGGCGCGAGACTGGTAGGTCCTGGGTTCGAATATCGCGAGACGAGGTCGTGTATGCGCACTGCTGAGGAGTCCCACAATAGGACGAAACGGTCGTCCAGTGCTTCCAGGTTTTCCATTGTGGTCTAGCTTCAACTGACTCACGCTTCAACTATGAAAATATTAAATCTTCACAGAAAACCCCTTCTGATAAAAAGGAAACTTGTTGAAATACTCTGTGCTGAAAATTCTATATTGTACCAAAAGTATAATATTGAATAGAGCTAATAATAACAATGAGTAAATGTTCCTATATGTTATCAAAACCCAGTGAAGAAGATGAAACATTTGTCAACAGCTAGTGTTTTATAAATAGTTCTGTTTCTCAATAAAATTGAAAGCATATTTACTTAAAAGTAAGCTAGTCAATGTGTGTCTTATTAGACAAAATTGTTAATATTTTTTTAAATGTTAGACAAAAGCACTTACTTACTTACTTACTCCTGTTACCCCTCGTGGAGGAGCATAGGCCGCTCACCAGCATTCTCCATCCAACTCTGTCCTGAGCCTTCCTTTCCAGTTCTTTCCAGTCACTATTCAGCCTTTTCATATCGGCTTCTATTTCCCGGCGTAGTGTGTTCTTTGGCCTTCCTCTTTTCCGCTTCCCTTCCGGATTCCAAGTTAGGGATTGAGTCGTGATGCATATTGGTGATTTTCTTAATGTATGTCCGATCCACTTCCAACGTCTTTTCCTAATTTCCTCTTCAGCTGGAAGTTGGTTTGTCCTCTCCCATAAAACGCTGTCGCTGATAGTATCCGGCCAATGGATGTTGAGTATTTTGCGTAGACAACTGTTTATAAATACTTGTACCTTCCTGATGATGGTCGTAGTAGTTCTCCACGTTTCAGCTCCATACAGTAGGACTGTCTTGACGTTCGTATTAAAGATTCTCACCTTGAAATTGGTTGAGAGTTGTTTTGAGTTCCATATGTTCTGCAATTGTAGAAATGCTGCCCTTGCTTTGCCAATCCTCGCCTTTACATCTGCATCCGATCCTCCTTGTTTATCAACGATGCTCCCCAGGTACTTGAATGTTTCCACCTCTTCCAGAGTTTCGCCGTCAAGTGTGATTGGGTTGGTGTTCTCCGTGTTGCATTTGAGAATCTTGCTTTTTCCTTTGTGAATGTGGAGGCCTATCGATGCGGAGGCTGCTGCTACATTTGCTGTCTTCATCTGCATTTGGTCGTGTGTATGAGAGAGGAGGGCTAGGTCATCTGCGAAGTCCAAATCATCTAATTGATTCTGAGCTGTCCATTGCATTCCGTATTTCCCTTCAGATGTCGAATTCTTCATAATCCAGTCAATCACTAGAAGGAAGAGGAATGGGGAGAGTAGACAGCCTTGTCTGACTCCGGTCCTTACTGGAAATGCACCCGTCAGCTGTCCTCCATGCACCACTTTGGACTGTAATCCATCGTATGAGTTTTGGATAATGTTGACGATCTTCTGAGGAACTCCATAGTGTCGAAGAAGTTTCCATAATGTTCTCCTGTCCACGCTGTCAAACGCCTTCTCGTAGTCAATAAAGTTGACGTATAGTGATGAGTTCCACTCAACTGATTGTTCAACGATGATCCGTAGTGTCGCAATCTGGTCTGTGCACGACCGATCCTTACGGAATCCAGCCTGATGATCCCTTAGTTCGGCGTCTACTGCGTCTTTCATCCGATTCAGCAGCACTCTGTTGAAAACTTTTCCTGGTACTGATAACAAACTGATACCTCTGTAGTTCTCACATTGGCTCAGATCTCCTTTCTTTGGTATCTTGATGAGATATCCTTCTTTCCAGTCCGTTGGCACTTGTTCCTCTTCCCAAATCTTCTTGAATAGAAGGTGAAGCATGTTTGCAGTTATTTCAATGTCTGACTTCAGTGCTTCTGCTGGTATATTGTCAGGTCCTGCCGCCTTCCCACTTTTGATTTGTCTGATGGCCATCTTGACTTCTTCGATCGTTGGTGGAGTGATATCTATTGGAAGGTCAGTGTGGGCTGCTTCGATGTTCGGTGGATTCAATGGGGCTGGTCTATTCGGCAGTTCCTCGAAGTATTCTGCCCATCTTTTCCTCTGTTCCTGAATCTCAGTGATTGTCTTTCCTTCTTTGTCTTTGACTGGTCTCTCTGGTTTGCTATATCTCCCTGCCAATTTTTTCGTTGTATCATATAGTTGTTTCATATTCCCTTCTCTTGCAGCTTTTTCCGCCGCCGTTGCTAGTTCTCCCATATATTTCTGCTTGTCGGCTTTAATGCTTTTCTTCACTTCTCTGTTTGCTTCTGCGTAGTCTGCTTGTGCTTTGACTTTCTCTGCTCGTGTTCGGCTGTTGTTAATTGCTAGTTTCTTGTTCTTCCTTTCTTGAATTTTGTCCAGGGTTCCCATAGAAATCCATTACTTGTGATGATGCTTCTTAGGACCAAGAACCTGCTGACACGTTGAAGTTAGTGCTTCTTTTATCCCTTTCCATTTGTCCTCCATAATAGTTTCTTGTTCTTTCAGTCGATCCTGTAGAACCTGGAACCTATTGTTGAGAGTTATCATGAATTCTTGGAGCTTGTCAGTATCTCGAAGGAAGGCTGTATTAAACCTTTGTAGTGCTGTTTGTCCAGTTGTCCAGTCTTTCTTTAGCTTCAGTCTCATCTTGGCCACAACCAGGTGGTGATCTGAAGCTATGTCAGCTCCTCTCCGGGTTCTCACATCTTCCATTGATCTTCGGAATTTTTTGTTGATACAGATGTGATCAATCTGGTTCTGTGTGGTGTGGTCCGGTGAGATCCATGTAGCTTTGTGTATGCGTTTGTGTGGGAATATTGTGCCGCCTATAACCAATTTGTTGAAAGCACATAGGTTTGCAAGTCTCTCCCCATTTTCATTTCTCTCTCCTAGTCCATGTCGTCCAATTACATCTTCATATCCTGTGTTGTCCACTCCAACTTTAGCATTTAGATCTCCCATCAGGATGGTGAGGTCCTTTCTTGAGCACTTTGCTATAATTGATTGCAGCCTTTCATAGAACTGATCTTTATCATCGTCGTTGCTATCATTGGTGGGTGCATAACATTGGATAACATTCATTGTGATCCCTTGCTTCTTTGTTCTGAATGATGCTTTGATTATCCTGGGTCCATGAGATTCCCATCCCACAAGTGCATTTCGTGCTTCTTTGGACAGCATTAGAGCAACTCCCTGAGTGTGTGGCGCATTTTCCCCTTCGTGACCGGAGTACAGCAGCATCTCTCCTGTACCTAGCCTTTGTTGTCCAGTTTGTGTCCAATGGGTTTCGCTGATTCCGAGTACTGCCAAGTTGTATCTCTTCATTTCCATTGCTATTTGACTGGTTTTTCCTGTCTCCCACATTGTCCGGACGTTCCATGTACCTATAAAGAGTGTTGCTCTGGTTGTTAGAAGGTGCATCGGTCTCGTGACTTCCGAAGAATTTCGGCTTTCATCATGAGACGTCATTATTCCTTCAACTCCCA